AAGGGTCTTGGAGGGGGGGGGGCGGACCAATGATGATTGCAAATTGTCCGACCATGAATGAGAAGACCGAGAATGGTGGCTGTCATCCATCATTGTATCAGCAAACATGATGCATTGTTCCGACGAGTGACCGGCTGAGTTGTGTGACATGGACAGAAAGGAACGGATAGGCAGGGGGGGGGGGGGGGAAGGGCAGAGGGGACAGACGGTGGATGGAGGGCAGAGGGAGAGGGAGGGGGGAGGAAGGGGACGTAGGGAGGGGGGTGGATGGAGGGATGGAAAGGGAGTGGGTAAGGGCTGATGGCGGTGTGGTGGGGAGCGCGGCGAGGGAAGAAGGTTGTTCACACCTGTCTCTACCAGAGGCGCTCTCATGGACATCAACGCGGTGACTGACCCCGCGGTGTTCACGCGGCAGTTCAAGGGCATCGGCATCGGTGTGGCCCGGAAGATCATTGACTCGGGGCCATACACGTCGATGGACCAACTGCGGCGTGTGAGAGGCCTTGGTCAGTCGAAGATTGAGTCGCTTAAGAACGTCTTTGTGGCTGGCCCAGCTACCGCTGACGCTGGCACTGCTGCTGTTGCAGCACCTCCTTCCAAGAGCTCAACTGGACGGACGCCAAAGGCTGCTACCACCAAGAAACGGAAGAAGACCAAGGCGTCCAAGTCGTCCAAGGCAACCGGTACGCACCCACCATCCATTTACCTGCCTAGCTACCCCCTTCCCTTTTTCCCCCCGCCCTCCCCCTTCCCCTTCCCCTTCCCCGTCCCCTCCCCCCCCCCCCCTTCCCCCGTTCTCCGCGTGAGGCAAGGCCGTAAGCCAACTGCTCGGTGCGGGGCCTTTGCCAGAACGAGCCATGGGATGCTACCCATGCCACAGACGGCGCAGTATGCGTGTTCTATGGCTTCCCATCCACCCATGGGTGCGTAGTTGCATGCAGGGAGTCACCCCGTGTCCGTGCTCCCTTCTCCCCTCCTCCCCCCCCGTCGCAACTGCCTGCCATCAGCTCGCCCCCCGTGGGTGGGCGGTGGGAGCGTGACCTCGGCCCGGGTCCACCCCCTCCACCCAAGGGCCAGCACCTCCGAGAATTGGGAGATGGAGGAGAGTAGCGAGGAGGAGAGTACGCGAGATAGATGCCTCAGGGGGTATGGGCGGTACCTGTGGGTGTGGGTGTGGCTCTTGTTTATTCTTGGCCATACCCTTGCCCCCGTCCGTGCCTGCACCCAGAGCCTACCTTTGTCATCCGTTTGTTTGCACGGCCCGAGCGCCTTGGTCCCCGCCCTCGCAGCAATTGACAGCATACTCACGGCTAGGGGCGGAATTGATGGGCGGATGCAGGCGAAGGAGGCACAAGCTCGGCGTCCAAGGCCAAGGCAGCAGCGGCAAAAGCTGGGCGTGGCCGTGGAGGCCGCGGACGCCCCAAGGGCTCGGTGGTGACCCGGGTCGGACCGGGTGCCGGGACGGCCGCAACGAGCAAGGCGGCGAGCAAGGCTGCGGCCGCGCGGAGCAAGGCTGCTAGCGGAGGGAGCGGCAAGGCGGCAAATGGAGGGAACGGCAAAGAGGCCGGTGGCGATTCGCCCGGCTCGGGCGGCACGGCTCAGACGCCGGCCGAGGCTGCGCTGGCGAGCTCAGCGCGCGGGGTGGCGCGGGGGGCCGGCACACACTCGGCCATTGGCTCGCCTTCGATGGCCGGCCAACGTCCGGGCCTCACGGCGCCGCTCGGGTCGCTGCACCACGACCTGGCGGGCACCGGTGCACAGTCGCATTCTGCGCCATCAACACCGACGTCGGAACTGCTTAAGGAGTTTACCACTCGCCAGTTCCGGCTCCATCAGACGCTCAACCATCTCAACCAATCGCCGCTGCCGTCGCCGGCAACGCACAACATGCTCACTTCGCCGTCGGGAGGCTACGCCCAGGACTTGACCAAGAAGCGCAAGCGCGGCGGCTCGGGCTCGCCCATCGAGACCGGCTCGGCCGTCTCGCTCTCGCCGCTCATGTTTGACGGCGACGCGTCGATGCTGAGCTCGCTCGACCCGACCGGTGTCCCATCGCCGCACATTCACCCGGCCCTGCACTCGGTCATCCCTTCGCCGTCGGCCGGGCCCGTCACCTCGCGCGGCTCGCCGTCGTCGTCGACTCCGCTCGGCCTCGTCCTCCCGCCACCGGCAAACCTTGCCGCGCCCGAGGCCAAGCCCTACTTTACCGATCCGGTCGACGACTGGCACTCTGAGCCGCTCCTGCCACGCTCGGCCTCGAACCCGTCGTCGTCGTCGCCGCAACCACTCGGCTCGTCCGCGGTCTCGTCGGCGGCCTCGGGTAGCCACGCTTCCGTCCTCTCGCCGTCACTTATTCTCGGCTCGTCCTCTGCCGTTCCCACCATCACCGCATCCTCGATCGATGCCTTTGCCTCGTACGACCTGCTCAAGTCGCAGCCGTCTGAAGCCATCTTTCTGCCCGACCCACTCGCCGTCTACGACGACGACCCCACCTTTGCCCCGCTCGCCAAGCGCGCCAAGCTCTGACGCTAACGCCATTGGCCACACCAACCGGCTCACCAACAGACCGCGGCCTCGCCGTCCCGTTGGCAAATCGTCGCCGCGAGCCTTACGCTCTGCTTGCTGCAGGCTCGCGCTGTGCCGCGCCCCTCCCCGCCGCCTACCAACTCTGTACCACCAACTCTCCGCCTACCGTCCATCGCCGCTACCACTCTCACCGCCATCGACGCCGCTCCCCGAGTCGCCAAGCCGAGACCCCCCCCTCCCCCCCCCCCGATCGACCCTGCTCACGCCCCTACTCACGCCCCTGGATCTGCGGCAAGGCCTCGTTTGCTTGGCCGGCCGCAACTCCTCTCTCCACCACCACGCCCACTCTACCCCCTGGCCACCCCAACCGACGCGGCCAGTACCACTGTACACACACACACACACACACACACACACACACACACACACACACACTTTCATTCATGTCTGCCTCCTTTTTCTCGGCAGCAGACCTCGCGTTGGCACGTGAATCACTGGCGCACGCCGAGCGCCCGACGTCGCCGCGGCTGCACCTGGCAACGAGTCACGAGACCGACCCGGGGCCACCGAGACCAGAAGCGCTGACGCCGCCAGAGACCGATGGTGTGCCGGACACTGTTGTGCTTGTGGTTGACTACACCACAGACTGGTCGGCCGTCTTCTCACCACCGCTCTTCTTGCCCAACGGCTCACGGCTGGTGGTCGAGCAAGCGTCGTGGCAGGCCATGGCCGTCGAGGCCATCGGCCCAGAGTCTGGACACGTCGAGGTCCTCATTCAGGCCGAGCCCGAGTCGCCAAACCCACAGGCAAGAACAAGTCCGCGCAGGGTCACCCCGCACGCCGTCATCGTCCGCAACTTTCCCACCGATCTCTCGGCTCGTGGCCATGTCAATGCACTTGTCGGCCTCGCCTTTGCCCGCCTCCCGGCGGTCAACTCGCTGCACTCTGTCTACATGGGCATGGATCGGGCCATGATGTACGCTCAGCTGGCGGCTATTGGCCGCGAGCCGGGTATGGGTGCTGGCGACGTCGATCCGCTGCCGCTAGTCCCCATGCGGTACTGCGCCAACGCCAAGCTCGCGCTTGGCCTCGAGTTCTCGCCGCAGCCTGAAATCGAGCCGCCAGCGGTAGTCAAGGTCGGCTCGACCCATGCCGGGTTTGGCAAAGCACTCGCCCGCGACGCTGCCGCCCTCGATGATCTTGTCTCGATCCTCATGACCCAGGACGAGTACTACACCGTCGAGCCGTTCATCGAGCACGCCTACGAGTATCGCATCCAGTGGATCGCCGGCCATGTCCGTGTTTTCCGCCGCAACTCGTCAACGTCATGGAAGAACAACCGCGGCAACATCTCGTTTGAGGACATGGACGTCCTCCCGCACCACCGTGCGTGGGCCGCCGCTGTCGCTCGCTACACATGGGGCGGCCTCGACCTATTTGCCCTCGACGTCCTGCACATTGCGCCTGATCGCGAGCTCATTCTTGAGATCAACGACACTGCCTGTGGCTTTATGCACGAGCACGAGTTTGAAGACGTCCGTCGCGTCCGCAACGCCCTCTACACCAAGCTTTCCCAGCTCGTTGACGCGTCGTCCGAGTCGACACCCTGATCCGGCGTCCCAGCTCCCGATGTCCGTCAAACACACACTCCTACACGCATATACACACTCTCTACACATACGTGAATCGCTTAACTTGCCGTTGCTCATCCCTACATCCGATTCGACTCGCAGCCGGTGGCGGCCATATGCTTGAGCAAAATGAATGGTCAAAATGGGCCAATGGTTCGGGCATGACCAGAGCCACACACACCGTCACACACACGACTGGGCGCAGGAGAAGACGAGCATGGCTGCGTCCAAGTCTGCCACCCATGACTTTCTCATCAAGCTCCTGCTCATTGGAGACTCGGGTACGCCATCCCCTGCCCTCCCTCCCCCTCCCCCCCCCCCCCCCCCCCTCCCTCTCCCCTCCCCTCCCTCCCTTTGCCCATGGCGTGTGCGACCAATGTTCGTTTGCCTGCGCCGCCGTGGCATTCGCCGCCATCTCCATGACCCCCCCCTGCCCCCCCTACCGTCCTCTTCAACAACAACGTACCGAGTATACAGCCAATGTCAACCGCAATGTGTATGGTGGGTGCTTCCGTGGTGGTGTGGTCATAGGAAGTCGGTATGGCCCGTGGCGTTTTTTTGCCTCGTCGCCACCGCCCACCGCCACCGCCACCACCACCGCCACCGCCACCGCCACCGCCAGCCACCGCCACACAGGAGGGACTGAGAGGTATGTCCATGAAGGTGACACCAAGCACTTACACTTTGGGAGAACTTGCGCATGCGTGCGTGTGGACGGCGGGACATGGGTGCCGACGCGGCGGGTTGTGGGTGTGGACGTGGACGGGCGTGGCTGGACGCGGGGTGCGGGGCGCGGGGTGCGGGGTACGGGTGTAGGCGTGGGCAAGTCGTCATTGCTGCTGAGGTTCTCGGACGACTCGTTCTCGCCGTCGTTCATCTCGACGGTGGGCATAGACTTCAAGTTGCGGTCGATCCGGCTGGGCGATTCGATGATCAAGCTGCAGGTGTGGGATACGGCCGGACAGGAGCGGTTCCGCACCATCACCTCGTCGTACTACCGCGGGGCCATGGGTATCATGATTGTGTACTCGGCAACCGACGCAGACTCGTTCAACAACGTCAGACATTGGATCCGCAACATCAAGGAGCACGCTGCTGAAGGCGTGTGCAAGATTCTCATCGGCAACAAATGTGACCTCAAGGAGAAGAAGGTCGTCGAGGCCTCGCGTGGGCAAGCTCTCGCCGACGAGTACGACATGCAGTTCTACGAGACCTCGGCCAAGGCCGATATTAACGTCGAGGACGCCTTCTTTGCCCTCACCGAGCAGGTCCTGGCAAAGCTCCAAAACGAGGCCGCAGACCCATCATCTTCGGGCAACAACACCGTGAAGGTCAATGATTCCTCCTCGTCGTCGTCCAAAAAGAAGGGCTGCTGCTAGACCCTCTTCCAACCGCAAACAAACTCCTGTTGCAACAGCATCCCCCCCCCTCACTTTCACTCTCCCTGTCCCCATCGCATCTCAGCAACGACCAATTGCCTGGCCTTGCTCCCCCGCCGTAGATTTGACCCGCCACCGACCGGCGCCGACTCTCTGCCCACCACACCCACCACCAGTCACCTACCCACCAGCCCACCCCACTTCCCACCACCACCACCACCGCTCACCTACACACACACGCGCACACACACACACACTCCCTCTCTCTCTCTCTATCTTCACACCCCCGCCCTCACCCCCCACCGACACCACTGCTGTGCCAAACTAAGGAGGATGTCGGGCGAGACCAAAAAGTCGGGGACGACCCTCGCGGCCATGTTCTCCCAAGTCAGCACACTGGGCCAACTTGAGAAGCTTGTGGATGTACTCAACAACATGCCCGGTGTGACGGGTGTGACGGGCAAGTCACTGGCTCAGGTGCTTACTCAGTTCATCGTCTTTCAGGATGAACACCTTGGAAAGCCCGCTGTCGATGCTGCTACTGCTACTGGCAAGGCCGTCCCGGAGGTCACCAAGATCCCTGCTGTCGCCTTTAAGGACATGTCGGTCGGCGGGAGCCTCAACGTCATTGCTGCCACCCTGTACGAGGCCAGAAACCAGCTGGGTTGGCGCCGCTTCGAGTTTGCCTCAAAGGTCAAGGTCGAGAACAACATCGAGCTCGTTGTCCGTGTTGCCCAGGCCCTCGCCGCCGCGGGCAAGCTCCCGGTCTTCAAGTGCTTCCTCGACCCAAAGCTCGACATCGAGTCGAACCGCAAGCTTGCTGCCATTGTCGCCCGCCATGGCGGGACGGTTGTCAACTCGCCCGCCGCCGCCACCCACCGCGTTGTGCCCAACATCCCTTCGGTCGAGTTCAAGCCCGACGTCGAGGAGGAGGAATTCTTCCGCGTCATCGAGGCCAAGGACGGCAATGTCCTGCTCCACTGGTGGTACTATCCCGACTCGTACGACCAGTGGGTGCCCGAGACCTCGCTCCACGTCAAGCCGGACCCGCCTGAGGAGCCGAAGGTCCCGCGCGTTGTCTACGCCCGCTGGCTCACCGACACCGAGCGGTTCAACGAGTGGATGAACGACGAGGACTACGAGCCGCAGGAGGACGAGGCGACCGAGAAGGCGGGCGCTCCTGCTGCTTCTGTCGCACCAAGGGCCGCCGAGCCCGCGCAGGTCGCCCCACACGAGACGTCGGCCGCCTCCCGCAAGCGGCGGCGGTCGGGATCATCGCCGCCGCCGGCAGACTCGCGGGCGTCGAAGCGGTCCAAGTCGCGGGCGGTCCACCGCGAGGTCGATCCCGTGGCCGCGAGCTCGGTGCCTGCCGCCGTCGGGAGCGACGCCAAGACGCTGATGCGGACCGAGATGCTCCTTGCCAAAAAGAGCAAAGGCAAGGGTGAGACGGGCTCGAGCTCGGGCACGGGCCCCGCACCCATGGAGGGCGTGACGCCCGGTGGGGCCAACGACCTCTCCACGGCTGCGTTTTCCGAGGGTATCGCGCCCCCGGCACACCTTGTCCCAGCCTTCCTCGACGCCACAACCATGAAGGCGGTCGAGGCTGGGCGCGGCCTCGGCGCAGCGTTCCAGGCCAAGTTTGCCGGCGCGGCGCGGACAGTCGTCGTTCCGTCGCACGCCTCGTGGTTCTCGCTCGACGGCGAGTGCCACCCGATCGAAGTCGGCGCCCTCTCCGAGTTTTTCAACGGAACGAATCCGTCCAAGACGCCCGAGATCTACAAGCTCTACCGCAACTTTATGGTCAACACCTGGCGGCAGGATCCGTCTCGGTACCTCTCGCTCACTGCCTGCCGCCGCTCGCTCACCGGCGACGCCGGCGCCATGCTCCGCGTCCACTCGTTCCTCGAGTCTTGGGGCCTCATCAACTACCAGGTCAATCCCGAGACTCGGCCGCTTGTCTTTTCCCACACCCACACGCCGCATGCCGCCCTCATCGGCGACGCCCCGGGTGGAGTCTTTCCCATGAACGCTGCCGGCGAGGCTGCGCTCGAGGAGACCATTGTGACGACGCTCGGTGCCGTCCCGGCTCCGCCATCGGCTGCAGGCTCGCGCTCGCGCCCCGAGGTCGCTGCCAGCAAGGTCGTCTCCAAGCTCTCGACCAAGCCCAACGTTGTTGGCCCGCTGCCGAACCTCGTCCTCCATTGCGGTGGATGCCACAACGAGGTGACCGGGCCCAACTGGGTCGCCCGCCACCCGGCCACCTCCAAGCCGCTCGTCCTCTGCGACAGCTGCTTCCGCAACAAGCGCATGCCGCAGGGCATCGACGCCGACGCCTTTACCCGCGGGCCCGAGCCGTCGTCGATCTCCCTCGACACCGAGTGGACCGACGAGGAGACGCTCAAGCTTGTCAAGGCCGTCGCCGCCACGCCCGACGCCACCTGGGACGAGATTGCCCGCGCCGTCGGCACCAAGTCCAAGGCCGAGGTCGTTGCTCGCATCCTCAAGCTCCCCATCGAGGAGCCGTTCCTCTTCTCGTCGGCAGGCGAGAAGCCAAAGCCGTTTGTCCGCGCGCCCAACCCGGCCATGTCAGTCGTTGCCTTCCTCACCGCCGCCGTCTCGCCGGAGCTCTCCGCCGTCGCCGCCTACACCGCGCTGGCCGCAGGCGCCGACGCCGCCACGCCTGCGCCGGAGCTCGCCCGCGACCTCCTCACCTCACACGGCCTCTCTCCCGCCGAGGCGGCCCTCGTCACCAACCGCGCCGCCGCATTTACCAGTACCGTCGAGGTCGCTATGCGCGCCCGCATGAAGGCTGCCCAGCATGACGCCGAGATCCAGGACCGCCTCGCCTCGCTCGTCGAGATCCAGCTCCGCAAGCTCCAGCACAAGCTCGACAAGCTCGACAAGCTCGACTCGCTCTATGCCGCCGAGCTCGACCTCCTTGCCTCGGACGAGCGTGCCGCCCTCTTTAACACCCAGTAGACGCACCACAGCCGCGATGAGTCGTACCCCCCCTTTCCGGCCTGCCCTCCACCGTGACGAACGGCCAAAACCGTTGGCCGGTCACAGCAACCAATGACAGCACCAAAGCCAGCCAGCCAGCCACACACACACACACACCACTCACCCCCTCCACGCACACAGCAGCAGCAGCATGGAAGGAAGGAAGGACGGAGAGGGCAGCGGGTGGAGAGGGGGCTGGGAGGAGGAGCGGGGAAACCCGTACAAGTCGTCACACAGCCGACGGGAGGCCTTTGCCCGTCATGACCTGGAGAGGCACACCACGGCCACTGTGGTCCCCGAGCTGTATCATCATCTGTGGTACCGCAAGGACACCATGGCTGACCGCCTTGTGGCCAACATCCCGCACACACTTGTCTTTGTCAACCACGCCCTCGCCGAATGGTACTTTGTCTCGCGATCCGGCGCAGTTCTCCGCAAGAACGCCGACAAGCTGACCCTGGCCCATGCTCTGGAAGCACTCCTGGCCGTCCACGCCACTGCGAATGGGCCATCAGGTCTTGCTCCGCCGCCGACGTCATCCATGGCTCTGCGATCAGGTTCGGTCACAACCTCGACCGCGTCCAAGCAGAGGCTCAGAAGCGAAGTCGGCGACTTGCCGGTGGTCGCCACCCTGCTCATCCCCTCCCACTCGGATCCTACCCATGTCACCGTCCGGCACTTTAATGTTCCACAGCTGCGGACGTACCTCCGCGACGACCGGCCCGAGTCCAAGCCGCGCATCGGTATCCTGCAGGCTTTTGTCCGGCCATACGGCATCCATAACGCCGTCTCGCGGGTCACTTTCACACAGAACGACGCCGTGGTTGACGTTCGGGTCAACACTGCTCGCTTCCGCGACTCGCTGGTTCCGGTTGCCGACCGGCTGGCCGCTTTTGTGGGTCCAAGCTACATGTCGCAGGTTGATCCGTCCCATCTCTCGTGCTCACCGGCGCTCATTGCCGCCACCCGCGCCGAGGCCATCCGCATTGCCCGCCACATGGAGGCCTCGTCTGCCCAGGGCTACATCATCCGCAAGATGTGCTTGTACTTTAAGATATCGCACACTGGAGAGGTCTGGTTCCTTTACGGCGGCAACGTGACTGTCGAGCGGACCGCGCCGCCGCCAGCTCGGCGCCTCCGTGGGACAGCCAAGCCGGGGCTTCCGGCGTCAATAGGCGGTGCCTCGCTCGCCCGCAAGCGGCAACTGGTCAACCGCCGCAAAATGGCGATCCGCGCAGAGGCCAAGCAGCGTGCCGCATCCAAGTACCGTTCGGCGTCCAAGAGCATTCTCGACTCGGCTCGTACGCCGCTCTCCAGAGTCAACTCGGGCATCATCAAGCTCTCACCGAGCTTGCTCACGCCGTCGGCGTCAGACGCCAACCTACTGCGGGAGCCTGTGGCAGTCATTGAGGCCTCATTAGACTCGCCGGCACGGCGGGCCAAGTCTGCCAGGCGCTCGCCGTCACTGCAAGCGGTCAACAACCTCATCCGCAAGCGCAAGTCGTCGCTCCATGTTCAGCTCCGAGAAAAGTCTGTGGCTTCGTCCAAGCTTCATCTTCTTGCCTCGCAAGCCTCGCACGAGTCGCGGATCAATGACTTTCTCGACAAGGGGGGCAGACGGCGGCGAAGCGCGTCAAACCGGGCCGCTCCCTGACGGCCGAGCCGGCAGACATGGCAGCAGCCTTGTCTGCAGCAGCAGTGTCGCCCAAGGCAAGTAGAAAACCGGCCTCCAATGCCACCAAGGCCAAGCGACTGGCGCTGGCCGATCTGACGGGCTCAGACTCACCCAAGGCCACACCCGGCGGCAGCAACACTCACGACGTGCTTGGTGCGCTTCCGATGCGTCGGAAGTCGGAGCGTGGCGTGTTGGCGCGTTCGCAGTCGACGGGTGGACACGAGCTGCACCTTGGGGACGCAGAGGCACATGCTGAGGCGCGGGAGCGCGAGGAGCTCGATAAGGAAGCCGGGCTCCTCCGCGAGATCATCGTGCAGCTGATGCGTGACGTCAAGACGGCGCAGCAGGAGCGGTACAGGGTGGAGCAAGAGGTGATAGCCAAGACAGTGATGCTTCAGAAGCGCAAAGCGACGCGGCAGCGGTTGGAGCACGAGCTGGATGCGGCGACGCTGGTGCGCGGACGGGCGGCGACGCCCCGTGCCGGCATCGGCGGCGACAACTCGCTCCCGCGGGTTGAGTCGACTGTCATGTTTGTGCCCCGGGCCGGGGTGGGAACCCATCAAGTGTATTGGTGATACCGCTGCTGGTGAGTCAGGAAAGAGACGACTACTCAAAAGCAGCGAGCAGGGTATTGACATAAATACCAAGAGTGATGCCGGCAACCTGGAGGACGACGATGGGGAGCGTCGACGACGACGGCGAGGCGTGAAGGTCGGGCACAATGTCGGCGGCGGCAATGTAGATGAAGCCGCCAGCAGCAAGCGGGAGGATGTAAACTTCCGAGTGCGGGAGCGAAGTGCCGATCCAGAGGACAAGGCAGGTACCGGCCATGGCGACGAGTGCGGTGAAAAAGTTGGCGAGCAGCGCCTGGGTCCGCGACATGCCGGCGCGAACAAGGATAAAGTAGTCGCCGATCTCCTGCGGCAGCTCGTGGAAGAAGACGGCGATCGAGGTGGTGAGACCGACTTGGGTTGAGACAAGGAACGACGCCGCAACGGCCATGCCGTCGGAAAAGTTGTGGACCGCATCGGCGATGAGGTTGAGCCAGGCGGCGGCGCCAACGCCTGCGGCGGCGGCGGGGGCAGCGCTGGTCGCCCCGTGGCTGTGTCCATGGCTGTGCCCGCCCGAGAGAGCGCGGACAATCTTCTCCATGACAAAGAAGAACACGATGCCGACAAGGGTCATGGTACCAACGACCGAGTCGTGGGCGTGCGGCTCGTCCGAGTGGCCGTGGGCGTGACCATGGCCGTGGGCGTGGCCGCCGCCGCCATGCGAGTGCGAGTGGCCGGTCAGTTCGGCCTCGGCCGCAAAGGCGACCGGAAGCAGATGCAGAAAGACGTCGCCGAGCAGGCCGCCGACCGAGAACGAGACCAGAAAGTCCGAGACAATGCGGCCAAAGCCCGATGAGGTGTCGGAGAACGGCGCAAAGGCAAGGCAGCAGACTGAGGCCATCGAGGTACCAAAGGTGGCGAGCAACGCTGCTGATGCCGGCGAGAGCGAGAGAAACAGGTCGAGCAGCATCGAGGGTGGCGGTGCGTCGTGATGGTCGTGGCCATGGTCGTGATCGTGGTCGTGATCGTGGTCGTGGCCGTGTCCATGGTCGTGTCCATGGTCGTGGCCATGGCCATGGTCGTGGCCATGGTCGTGATCGTGGTCGTGATCGTGATCGTGATCGTGGCCGTGTCCATGGTCGTGTCCATGGTCGTGGTCGTGGCCATGGCCATGGTCGTGGCCATGGTCGTGATCGTGGTCGTGATCGTGGTCGTGGTCGTGGTCGTGGCCATGGTCGTGGTCGTGTCCATGGTCGTGATCGTGCCCATGGTCGTGATCGTGCCCATGGTCGTGATTGCGGTGGTCGTGGCCATGCCCATGCTTGCTCCCATGCCCATGCCCATGCCCATGCTCATGCTCATGCTCATGCCCATGCTCCCCGCCCCCCGTTAGCCCCCTCTGTCAACAGCATGGCCCCACACCACACCCACAGCAACCGCCACCAGCACAGCAACCACAACAAGTCCTGCAGACACACGCATCCCTCCCTGTACACACTCTAGCCCAAGCTCAAGTCAAGTGGTACCCAACACTGCAGCTGCAACCCATACCCCTTACCCCTCCACTCCCCTCCCTCTCCACACTTGGGACACAAGTTGGCCGCCACCAGGCCGGTCACAGAGGGCTCATGGCACCAAAGGCCAGACAGCCACCGAGGGTGGACGGCATGGTATAGATGCCTTTCTGTTTACAGGGCGGCAGCAGCTGCGGCAAAGCGAGTCTCGAGATCGGCCTTGGAAGCAAGGAGCGGGTGGGCGGCATCGCGGGCGGCGAGCTGGGCCATGTAGCGGTCGATGACATCGCTAGCCTTGCCGGTGTGCTGCGCAAGGGCAATGAGGTTGGCGAGCGTGTCGGCATCGTTGGCGTTGAGCTCAAGAGCCGAGACAAGGACGGCTTCGGCCTCCTCAAAGTTACCCTGGTGCATGCAGCAGGCGGCGACGCCATTGAGCAGCTTGGTCGACGGCTGGTACTTGTCGACAAAGTCCTGGAAGACGTGGTACGCCTCCTGAAGCGCACTCTTTCCTTTTGCAATGCCGACCCAAGCCCCAGCGAGCTGAGTCAGCGTGTTGTCCTCTTCGATCGCCACCATGGCCTTGACCTTCTCCTCGGCATACCGGACCTGATTCATCTGCAGGTACACATACACCATGTAGGCCATGGGCTCGAGCTCGGTTGAGCCTGAGAGCAGCGTCAGTGCCTCATCCACCGCTCCATCGGCCACCATCAGCTGTGCCGCACCAAGCACAACCATAGCATTCCCCGCAGAAATACCATCGCCGAGCCACTTGCGGAAGGTCTCCAGCGCCGTTGCCCGCCCGACCTCGTCCGTCGAGCCGATGACAAGCTCCCTCACCGCCAGCAGCGCAGTCGCGTCCGTGTCCTTGATTCCGCCCAGCACAAGCGGGCCGTTACTTCTCATCGGTAGTCAGGGGGAGGGGGGGGGGGGGGGGGGGGGGGGGGGGGGTTAGTATGAGGTGTATGGGTGGGTGGGGAGGGGGGGGGGGGGAGAGGGGAAGAGGGGAGGTCAGGGACGTGGCGGGGCGGCGGGTGGTGTGGCAGGGGCGGGGTGGGGCGTACAAGGGCAGCATAGGCGCGGAAGACATAGGTGTCCATCTCAACCTTGAGGTCGGGGCTGCTGGCGGCAATGGTGGAGGCGGCGTTGATGGCGGCCTGGTAGCAACCGAGGTGGAAGAAGTTCTTCACCTCAAACAGTGGGTCCACTCCGTCGGCCATCTCGCAACGTCAGCGTCAAGTGCCTCTCCTTGAACCACCGCGGGAAGACCAGCCACGGCTGACAGGCCACAGCTGACAGGCCACGGCTCATCGGCCACGGCTGACTTTACTTATTCTGCCTCTACTCGACGACCAGTGGCGCCTCTTTGTTGCCCTCGGCCTCGAGAATCTGCTGGAAATCCGAGTCGAGGTACCATTCACGCTTCTCCTTGTCGTAGTTGTAGCAGAACAGGAGCTCGTCGCCAGTCCGCAGGTCGCGCGAGGCGTACAGGCCCACACGCTCGACGCCGTTGACAACCTTGGTCATCGGGTGGACGTTTGGCTCGTCAGAGTGGTTGATGAGCTTGGTTCCAGAGCCCTTGCGGAAGGCGTCGATGACGAAATCGCGGTTGTAGTCAAAGACGTACGAGATACGCATCGAGCTGTACTCCGAGTGCCGCCGCTCGACCTCAGTGCTCGAGACCACCTCGCCGACGTACTCGCCGATAAACTGGCCACGCGAGATCGGCTGCCCGGCAAAGAGCCCCCATCCGGCCACCGTCGATATGCCCACGACAACCTTGTTGTGGACCTTGTTGAAGTGCGCGAGGTTGCGGCACGGCTGCACCGCTGCTGCCGGTGGCGCTGTCCCGGTCACCGGCTCGCGCCGCTGCACACGCTTCCGCCGCGAAGCCCGCCGCTTCCGAGGCCGCTCGTTGAGCGACGTCGACGAGGACGAGTCCGATGCCGACCCTGAGCTCTCGCTAGATCCCGACCCGCTCTCGACCGACGAAATGCCGGTCATTGCCGCTGCCTGCACAAGCATCATCTCGTCCTGCGGCGACGACGCCACGGTCGTCAGCATCCGCCGCAGCGAGTCTGCCACCAACGGCTCCTTCCGCACTCGCACCTCTGCATCGTTCGACGGGCATCGACAAATGCCGGGCACGCACTCGCGGAAGGCCATCCGGCACGGACACGACTTGTTGGTGCACCCGTTCCGGCACGCGCACCCGGGGAACCGCCGCGGGCAGTTGCGCGTGCACGAGCAGAGCTCCGTGCAAAAGCCGCGGTGACGCACACACGAGCAGTTGTCCGTGCACGCGCCGAGGTGGCTGCACGGTCGCAAGTGCGGATTCGACATCTCATCAGGGTTCTGCACCTGACTCGACGAGATGCCGAGACGTGGCGCCGGGCCTGGCTCCTCCTGCGCTGCAAAGTACAGGATCCACGCCAGCGATGCCTCGTCCTCTTCAGACAGCCCAATCACCCGCAGCATCGTCTTGACCTGGCGGCAAGTCCGCCCAGGCACCATCCGTGCCACCGCACAGTAGTCGGTTGCATACATGGTGAACCCCTTGCTCAGCAGCGCGATTTCGTATGGGAGCCACCCGTGGAGATCCTGCGTCATAGTGAACCCGTCTCGTAGCGACGCCATCAGCTTGCGGTACCGCGCCTCACCGCTCGCGCCGCTACTTCCACCCTCGCTTGCCATCTCTCGCCGCCGCACCAGAATCGATGGCATCAGCGCTTGCGCCCGCGGATCGTGGAGGTGGCACTCTGGCCCGCACGCGTACGACTCCCACACCTCGGCCTCGATCACAAACTTGCTCTGTTCCGTCGCCCCGACCGGATGCAGCATGTCGAGCAGGACCTTGGGGCACGGCGGGATCTGCGGCTTGGGCGGAAAGTTCTGCGGTTCGATGCTGTGCAGGTCGCACCCGTACGTGTAGCACGTTCGGCAAAAGAGCGAGTGGTAGCTCTCGTGAAGCGCCTCGTCCGACGGAATAACCACCTCGCCGTCCTCGCTGCGCCGTCCGGCTCCGCGGAACTGCGCGCTCGCTGGCAGCTTGACTCGCTGAAGCACCACGCCTGGGTGCAAGACCGAGTTAGTCAGCTCGGCATTACCCAGCACTGCTTGTTGCTGTCGCGCCACCCTCCCCGCTCGCCGTGCCACCGTATCGACCGTCTCGTTGTACCGACGGAGCAGATCGTACGCTCGCGCGCCGACAAGCGAGCCCAGCACTGCCGCTGTCTCCATGGTGTTGCCAAAAGCTTCAAAAGTCGAGCGGATGAGAAACTGGATTTCCACAATGTCGTCGAGCCCATTCGAGTCGCCGAGAACTGACGAGTAGAGCGAGATATCAACGTTGACCTCCTTGTCGTCGCCGTGCCACGGAAGGAACCGCAGATGCGGATCATCGTCAGACCGCGTCAGCTGCTCCACCATCGGTGCCAAATGGTGCATCGGTAGCCGCCGGACTCGCGGCAGCTTCACCGCCAGCACCGTCTCGCCGCCTCCCGCACGCTGCGGCGCAATGGTGGAGTACCGCTTGACCGAGGTGGACGAGTCGGTCGGCAGGGCGGATGCGTCCACATTCATCGGTAGCGGCACGTCCTCGTCCAGCTCTGCTAGCTTGGCACCCCGCGTACGCCCCGGCAGCGCACGCCGCGCACGCCGCTTCGCCGCCGCTGCTTCGGCCTTGCGCCGCGACGCGGCCGTCACTGCCCGCCACTTGCTCGCCCGCGCCGCGTCCACACGCTGCCGCAGCGCGCCCAGAAACTGCCGCACCCCAACCTCGAGCTCCTCATTCCGGTACGTTGCAAGCATATGATCCAGCCACGCCGTCTTCCGCCCTACACGCCTGCCTTGCCGCTCGCGGCGTGCTGTGTCCGCCTCTGTGGGCGGCTGTGTACCCTCTCTCGTTTCACGACCTTTTCCCTACAATTGGCGAAATGAGTGCCGATCGCGGTCAGTGCGGCGTTGATCACGCCGACGACCACGTCTCCCTCCCCTCTCCCCTCGGCCCAGTCATGCTCTTTGTCGAGCTCAACGGGACTCTACTTGGCCACCTGGCCGACACCCCATCTGTGCTGGACCATGCGGGGGTTTGCGTCGCCTTTGGCCTCCCGGAAGAGGCGGTGTACCTGGCGAGTGTGGCCGACGCCGGCGCCGGCGCCCGCCTCGTCCGCCTTCTCTCGCGCGGGCCTGGCGGCAAGGGCGGGTTCGGCGCCCTGCTCCGTCGCGGTGAGACCGGCGGGCGGGTGGTCAAGCCTACAACCAACTTCTCCGCATGCCGCACCCTCGACGGCCGCAGGCTCCGCCAGGTCGAGGTCGAGGCCCAACTGGAGGCCTTCCGCGCCTCGGGCGGTGCCGTTCCGCCCGACCTCACCGAGCGCCTCATTGGTGACGGCGCAGGCCAGGTGCTCAAAGACCTCGACGCCGAGCGCGAGCGCGCTGAGGCTGCCCGTCTTGCAAAGGCCGAGCGCAAGCGCCAGGCCGTCGATGCCGTCGCCGCCGCCGCCGCAAAGGTCTCGGCCTCGGTCCGCGACGCGGTTGCTGCCTCGGCCTCGGCCGCTGGACCGTCGGACGCCCCGTTGCCGAACCGCAAGCGTAAGGCCGCCGGCCAAGACGCTCCTGCTACCGCCCCACCACCGCCGAGCGATACCAATCCGCGCGATGCCAAGCGCCGCAAGCTCGTCGCTCCGGTCGCCGGTGCAGCTCTGGTCGCCGACCTCGGCGGTATGCTTGGTCTCGACTCCGACTCGTCGGACGAGTCTGGTAACGATGAGTAGACCGTACAATGCGTGGCTTTAGTGCTTGCTACTCGACAGTCCCATGCGTAGCCGGTACTTGGCCGGTGCGTCCGCAGGCCCGCCAGGTATCTGCTCGAGCGACGAGAGCATGACCCAGGCCTCAAAGTCAGCGTCGAAGACCTCGTAGTGGTAGGCCGGTCCTCGCGCCGCGGCGGCGGCCTCACTCCCGCACGCTGCAGTGACGGCCGCGGTGATGCTGTCAAGAACATCGGCGAGCCGATCCGCGCTCGAGCGGACTTTGACCAGCACGTTTGTAGAGCTGCCGACGGCGCTCGCCGCATCGACGAGGAGAAGCCGAAAGCGGCCAAAAGTGGAGGGAAGCTCCCACTGCATGAGCACGCTTGCCAGCGTGTCGGCGACAGCTGCAGCTTGAGGGCGTTGGGTGGCAACGCCACTCATGGCAGCGTGGACAAGCGCGATGAGAGGCTGCGGCCAGGGCGGGCTCGCTGCGTCGAGGAGCGCAAGCTCGGGCGGCGGCGCGTACGCATTTGCCCGCGACGTCGCGTCCTGGAACGGGCGGCGGCTTGTGAGCGCCTCTAGCATGAGCACGCCAAACGAATATACATCCGACGCCAGCGTGGCCACCTCGCCGAGCAGCACTTCGGGCGCCGAGTACCGACGAGTGCCTGCGCCACGCAGATTGACGTGCCGGGCGACGCGGCCGGAGAGGCCAAAGTCGGCGATCTTGGCGTGGCGGCCGTCGGCAGAGAGGATGATGTTCGACGGCTTCAGGTCGCGGTGCGGCACGCCTTTGGCGTGGACATATGTCAGGGCGAGGCCAACCTGGTGCAGAAGCTGGACCGTCTCGTGCCGCCGCAACGCGTTGCCACCGTGGCAGTGGATGCGGTGGAAGAGATCGCCGCCCGACATGAGCTCGGTCACGATGCCCATGCTCTGCCGCTCCTCGCGCCACACAAAGCCAAAGACCGAGACAATGTTGGGGTGCCGGAGCATGTGCAGCGTCTGGAACTCTTCCACAAACATGGTGAGCGTCCCACGCGAGACCTCGCTGAGGAGCTTGACTGCCACTGGAGCGCCGTGGAGAAGCGCTCGGAAGACCCGCGACTTGGCGCCCTCGCCGATCGGCTCGAGTGAGCTCAACTCGCCCGCCTCGATCCGCAGCAGGCTGTCCGACTCGATGGTAAACGCCGGCCGCGAGCTTCCGCTAGCGGCCACCACCGCCAGTGATGCCGACGAGTCCAGGCCCGAGCTCGACGCTCCGCCCATCCTCGACGCTGTCAGCGTAGCGTCCGTGCCATCGTTGCACTCATCCAGCGGCTGACCCTCCATAACAATGACCGACATGTCGTCGCGGGCGACATTTGCCCGCGCCCCGCCCATGCCCATCGTCACCGTTGCATCGACGTCAAAGTGGACCGCCGTCGACGGCGAATTCTCGTTGCCGCTCGCTGCCGCTGTTGCCGCCATGGTGACAGTTGCATCGGGCATGGGTACGCTTGACGACGGAGTCTCGGACGAGGACATGTCGTAGCCATGCGAAGACGATGATGACGATGATGATGACGACGACGATGACGACGACAGCGATAAAACGGTCGGCTCTGATGCCAAGTCGGAAGCCGACGAGCTTGCTGAGCCCGAGCCAAACGCCCGGGCGTTGGAGAAGATGCCGTCACCGCGACGGGCAAGAGGCGACGACGCTGTGGGCGCAACAGGAAGATGCGGGGTCCATGACGTCTGCCGCGTTGCTGGATGGTAGAAGTACGGCGAGCCGTCGGGCGTTGAGTACTCGATCCAGTCGGACGAAGTCGAGGCGGAAGTGGCGGTGAGTGGTGCCTGAACGGCGCCGCGTGTGGCTGCGGCTGCTGTGAGGCCGGCAATGTCGACAGTGAGCTCCGGTCGCCGCGAGCGAGGGTGGTTGCTCGCCGGCCCGGCCGCTTCCGCAGGCTGGACCTGCGGCTGGGGCGGAGGCTGCGACTGTGGCTCTGGCTCGCGGTGGCGGAGCTTGGCCGGATGTGGCGAGGCATGGTATCGGGCGTCATCGGCAACTCTGAGCAGCGCATCTTCCCAGTCTATGGCACGGTAGACGTCGCGAGACTCGATGCGGATGGTGAGCGGCTGCCCGGCGAGTGGAGCGATGGCGAGCTCGAGGCCGGCACGGACTATCGAGGCGCCACTCAGGGCTACAACTCGCTTGACCTTGGCTTGGTCGGCGGTGAGGAGGGTGAGGGTGCGTGGCGAGAAATCGATACGTGCGTGGCGCGCCTTGGCGCGCCGGCCCTTGATCTCAAACACAAGGCCGTGCTTGACAACCGATAGGTCCTGGAGAATGGCCTTGCGAAGCTTGGACTGCTCGTGGGCAGTGTGGGTGTGGACCTCGCGGAGCAAGGCATCGTACATGGCGAGGAACTCGGCGTGCGCCTGCGCATGGTTGGCGAGCTTTGGTGGAACGTGGCTGAGGCTGGCTGCTGCTTCGCCAGGCTGTACCAAGCTCGCACTCGGGCGCAGCGCGCTGGTCAGTGGACAGCGGCGGCGGCGGCGGAGCGAGAACCGGTGCTTGCAGCTGCGCTTGCGTGCCGCCTTGGCCTTCCACCTCCGGATGCGGGCATTGTGAGCGACACCGGGGGCGAGGGAGCCAGAAGCTCAAAGCAGTCGTCAAAGGCAAAGGCGTCGACGATGGCTTTGACGTCGGCAGAGGCGACGCAACGCGCGACGCCTGCGGCCTGGTCGGCCTGTGTGTGGACGCCGACAAGGAAGCGTGGCAGCTTGCTGGCGGGGTCCCAGTCGGTAATGGCGCCGCGGATGAGAAAGTTGGTCTCTGCCAGCGAGTTTGCCGATGTGAGCGAGAAGGCGACGAGGATGCCGTTGGAGTGGCGGACGGCGCCGCGCTTGACCGCCGCCTGCGACCCGGTGCCGTCGACGAGCGTGAGCAGACACGAGCCCATACGGACCGGGCCCGTGCCCTCGGCGTTGTAGCAGTGCCGGGTAGCAAGAGCATCGTCATCGTCATCGTCATCGTCATCGTCATCGTCATCGTCATCGTCATCGTCATGATCGCCTTCACCGTCGCCAGCGCCATGGCATTCATCGCCGTCGGGGCTGAGACCAAGAGCGCGGGCGCGGGCACGGACACAGCGACGATGAATGCAGAACGGATGGACGGCGGCCTTGAGAGCATCACGGACGGCAACTGGACCTAGAATGCAGAGCTTGAAGTGGGAAAGTCGACAGGCGGCTCAGCGGTGGTCATGGCGTGAGCCAGATGCGGGGCAGAGCCAGTGGGGATTGGTTGAGGCGGCGGGACGGGCGAGAGCGGGACACGACCCGAGACCGAGGTCATGGCCGGCTACTGCGCCGTGCGAGTAGAAGCGAGTGGGTGACCTGGGGTGGGGATGCGAGGGGGGGGGAGGGTGCGGTGCGGTGCGGACGGGAGGAGAGGTGGCAAAGAGGCAGAGTGATGCAAACCCATTTGGAGAGTGTCTCGCCACATACTGTTCTGATGGCCGGCGTGGGCAGGGGAGCGGGATCAGGGTGAGGAAAGTTAATCAAAAAGTATTATATCCCCCGGTATTGCCACTCGGGCCAGGAAGACATCCTGCGCGCACGAGTCAGCCCGGGGGTAGATCTCCCTTCTCTCTTTTGCTTTGTGACCCCTCCCATCCCTTCCCTCCTTGCCCTCCCCATCCCCCCCTCATTACACACATCATCAATGCACACACGACAGAGACTGTTTGATCCGCATCTTAGTTGACACCCTTAAGGCAGACGTCAAAGATCAGCTCCGAGTTGGGCGGAATCGGCCCGGCGCGCTGCGAGCCGTAGCCCAACTTGGCCGGGATGTACAGCGTCCGCTTGCCGCCGATGCGCATGCCCTTGACACCGACGTCCCAGCCCTGGATGACCTCGCCGGCACCGAGGCGGAAGGAGAACGACTTGCTCGAGTCGAACTTCTTGCCCGACTTGAGCTTGCCGATGTACTTGACCGTGACGGTCCGCCCGTTCTTGGCCACCGCGCCCTTGCCCTCCTCGACATCGACGTAGCAGAGCCCGTTCTTGAGCGTCACCTTCTTGGCCTTACCCTTGGACTTCTTGGCCGCCTTGGCCTCCTGGGCCTCCTTGGCCTCCTTGGCCTCCTTGGCCGCCTTGGCCTTGGCCTCCTTCTTGGCCTTGGCCTCCTTCTTGGCCTTCTGCTTCTTCTCCACAGCCTCGGCCTCGAGGTTCTTGGCCTTCTTGGACGCCTTCTTGCCCTCGGCCTCGTCAGCCGGCGCCTTGCGCTTCTTCTGCGCCAGGTACTGCCGGATCATCTCCTCCTCGTCCAGCGCCTCGTCGTCGTCCGACTCGGAGCCCGCCGGCAGGTCGTGGTCGCCCTCCTCGGAGCCCGACGGCACGTACTCGTCATCACCCTCGTCGTCGTCGCTCTCGTTGTCGCCGCCCTTGCCCTTGCCCGAGAACATGGCGTTCATCAGCGTGTTGGCCCGCGTCTCCTCGTCCATCTCCTCGATCTCCTCGTCCGAGTCGAGAATGTCGTCGTCGTCGAGCAGACCGCGCTCCCGCAGGTCCTCCAGCTGCTCCTCAGACAGGTACATCCCATGGTCCTCCTCAGGCTCCTCGTCAACCATGACGTAGCCCGAGAGGTGCACCGTCGCGTCGCCGATGACCGAGAACGAGACAGGCACGTCCGCGCCGTACATCAGATCCAGCGTCTGCGAGTCGGTGCGCCCAGCCTCGAGCGTGCACAGGTTGTACGTGTGCCCGTCAACCTTGCACGTCACCGTCGCACGCGCACCAGTCTCGGCATCGTGCGCCAGGCACGCCTGCGACAGCCGCGTCGGCACCTCGGGCGACTGCGAGTACGTCTTCCCCGGGAAGCATTCCAGTCCTACACGAGGTATAAACCCATCCCATTACCACCACAACAACCATAAGTGCATCTGCCACAACCTGCTATTCCTCCACCTCCACTCTGCTCTCCATACTACCTGCATCCCGTCATGTGGCCCACCTCGAGTGGTACCTCTCCCATGGCTCGGGTTTTGGATGCAGACACTCTTTGTCACTTGACAAGACTCAAGACAGCCACCACACAGACCATCCCCCCCCCAGGCATACACTTGCCCACAGACCATACATATCAATGTGGATGACTTCACCCATCCGTTCATCTCTCTCTCTCCCTTCCTCCCTCTCTAGTCACTGGCTGGTGGTGTTTGGGGGGTGGTCGTCGTCGTCGTCGTCGTCGTCGTCGTCGTCGTCGTCGTCATCGTGGCCCATCCAAAGCCATCCTCTCCCTCTCGCCTGCTGTCCCATCCTGGGTCATGGCATACTCGCAAGGCTACTCCCGTCAGAGTTGACAGTGCCAGCCACATGGCTAGTATCACTCAGATAGTGGGGGGGGGGGGGGCTAGTGTGGATGTATGGGCTATGGCCTCCAGGACCATCTTGTCCTTGCGCTGATGTGGTACGTACCCCAGAACATGGTTGATGGGTCAAGTGTGACGCGACGACGGCGACTGCGACAGAGATCGAAATTCAAAAACAACCGTTGTCACATCATGGCGATGTTCGTCGCAACCGTCACTCCCATCATCATTATCATGGCTACTTTCACTATCCTCGTCGGGTTCAACTCAGTGAACAGCTGTCGTGGCGTGGGTGCGCTCATACGCCTGGATGGAGGAAAAAGGCACGGATCTCCAGCGGAGAGAGCGCGACGCACTCGGTGTCGACCGCGCTGTCGCCGGCAAGGCCGCCAGCGTCGATCTCGGCTGTAGGGTTGGGCGCCGGCCAGCTCCATCGTGAAACTTTGGCGCGCGGCAGGACCATCGTGAGCGAACGCTCATCGAGCGAGGCGGCGCTGCCAAATGTGGCAGCGGTTGGGATGCACAGCCGCTCTTCCGAACCCTCGGTCTCGCACTGGTCAAGTCGCGCCAGCCGCAGCATGATCGGCGCGCCCGGTCCGCCGTCGCGGACCTTGGCGGTAAGAAGATGCGCAAACTCCGGCAAGCTTGTGGTCAGGATTGATGGCGTGGCACTGGCGGCAAGCTCGGGTGGTGGAAGTTGACCAAAGAACAGTGCGAGTGGGTTGTTGTTGAGGTACGTCAGCTTGGTTCGCATCGCCACACCGGCGCGACTCGTGTTGCCGGCCACGAGGGTGAAAACCGGATGGACTCGGGTTGTGTCGTTGAGCGCCTGCCCGAGCCCGGCGTTGGGCCACCCGTTCTGCAGCATCCGCCGATGAACCATAACCTCGAACGCGCCGTTGCTCGGCGATCCAGCGCCGTGCGTGTACGGCACAGCCACGCCGAGCGCAGCGCCGCCGCCCCACGCCGCCACGTGCACACCCGACACCGCTGGGTAGTACGAGTACGACGGTGCAGAGCCGGGCTCGGTAAACCGCAGTCGGTACTGCAGGCCCGAGTCGTCGGTGTAGAACCCGCCATTGGCCTCAAGATCCGTCACAAACCTCAACGCCACATTGGTGCCATCCCCGGTCGCGTCAACCGGGCCGAGCGCCACTGCCACATCGATCCGCCGCTTCTGATCCGCGCTCGGCGCCGGTGGATGAAACACGCGCCAGCTCACTGTCGTCTTGCCGTGGACCGTGTACACTGCGGTCACCGTCTCGACAAGCTCGCCGCTGCTCCGCACAAGCGCCGCCGGGCCGCCCAACACCACACCAATGTCGGTTCGGAACACGTACGCCGAGCCGAGCGACGACGCGTAGTTGATCAGCTCCACGTCGAGCAGCGACCACGCCCCGCCACGGTAGTCGGCCGACCTCACTCCGGTCACGCCGGCACTGGCGTCAAACTTGAGGCCGACCACCCCATTGTCGATGGTGAACGCCCCATCAGACGCGGGCACGCGCGCACAGCCAGCAACAGGTTCTGGCTCGACGCCACTACCTACGGCGAGTTCGATCTTGAACGTGACGCACGCTGCTGCCGGCACATCCACAGCCTGGAACCAAAGCGTCGGCCGCGTGCCCGTTGCCTCGCACTCGCCGTCGAGCTGGACTGCAACCTGCGCGCCGCTCCGAGCGTGGCTCACCTCGACGCTCATCCCGTCAACGTAGACACCGTCAAAGTCGACGGCAACCATGTCCGAGCGTGCCCAACCGAGCGAATTGCAAACGACAACGGCCGACGTTACCGGACTGCCTGCGCGCGGGCGCGCAAGACCCTTGCGCGCCGATGTCGAGACGTTGGCAGCGAGGCCGAGGTGCGCCAGCGCGTCAAACGCTAGCGCGTTGCCCGCGGCCGTTGCCTCTGCGAGATGTTTCTTGTAATCGGCAACTACTTGGAGCTTGGACGTCCCGGTAATGGCGTCGTGGTGCTGGAGAATTGACTGCGCCCACCGGCCACTCGCCAGCCGCGCAAACTGCGCCGCACTCCCTGCCGCCCGAAACGCGTGCAGATACAGCATCTCGGCCACGCGCAAATTGGCGTCCTGCGCCCGCGAGAACGCCTTGAGCGATGGCCGCGAGGTGAAAAACCCTGTCCAGTCAGTCTCTGGAAGCTCGATGTACGGGAGAAAGTCCTTGTCGACAAACTGGTTGACTCGCGTCCCGCTCGCAGCAAGCGAGGCATGGACAGCGGCAAAGTACTCGCCCACCGTAGAGAACCGAAACGTCATGTTGCGATACTTGGCCGCCGAGTGCTCGTTGAGGTACGCCACCACTGCCGACTGGTTGCGAAACATCAGCGACGCGTTGGTGTACGCAAAGTCGCCACCAGCAGGGACCATCACATGACCCGAGTCGACATACCACGGCAGCCGCACCAGCACGTTGGCAAAAAACTCGTCGGCAAGCAGCGGTAGGTTCTCCGGCGTCGCCGGTTTGGCGTCTGGATGCTCAAAGTTGAAACCGTGCGGCGCAGAGTACGTCAGCCCGAGGATGTGGGTGTAGATGTCCGAGACGTTGGAGGCCGGCGATGCAGGCGCGCAAGCGTCGCCGCGCCAGAGAAACTCCTCCGAGCCCGCCGCTTTGAGCGCAAACGACTCTTCCCAGTTGATGCGGCGGATGACATGGCCGTTGAAGCCTGACGCCGCCCAAAGCAACGGCGTGACCGACGACGCGCCAAACGGATCGATTTGCCAGCCAAAGGCAGGCACCACGCCGACGGTGTTGAGAAGGAACAAGTGGCCTTCGGTCATCTGCTGGATGACTGGCTCATAGTGGGCCACAGCCTCGTCGTTCATCACAATGCCGCCTGACACAAACTCGAGCTGGCCCGACGCCGCCAACGCCTTGATCGTCTCCCTCTGCGCCTGCGTCGTTCTCTCGTCCTCCCACCACATCTGAAAGTACGCCGTCTCCACCTGGATGAACCGCAGCTCCGGATCCTTTGCCAGCTCATCCGAGACCGACGAGATGATGAACCGGACTTGATCCTCGTAGTACTGCTCATACGTCTTGACATAGCCCACATCGTCATGCGAGTGACAAATGATGTGAACCGTCTCCCCCTCGCCAGCCACCCTACCCACCAGCACGCACGCCAGTCCCAGCACCAGCACAGTCGCCACGCACAGCCCGCCACCCACCACACCCATGGAAGCCCTAAAGAATTAAAGTGACGTATAGTTCCCCTTCTCGCCCTGTCTCCCTCCCCCCCCCCCCTCGCCCTGCCTCCGCCCGTCTCGGCCCTGTCGCCCTTCTCGCACCTGACATGGCTCTCCGTGCACACGACCGAAGAGTGCAGAGGCTGTAACGAGGAGAATATCACAGCTGGAACGATACAACTATGAGCGCTATGAAAAAAGGTATATGGTACATGCTTGGTGTAAAGGATGAGATCAGACAATAAGTATTCCGTCTATAGTGGCCATCTGACGTGTGTGGTGGCGAGGAGGGGAGAGAGGGGGAGGGGGAGGGGGGGGGGGGGGGGGTGGACAGGCCCTGAAAAAGGGTGACATGGACCAAGTGGTGATGGCCAGACCAGCCACCACACCCAACACACACACACACACACACACACACACACAACACACACACACACACACACACACACACACACACATACTGGACCACACTCGCTTGACCTCACCCACTTGGACGGCCGTACCCTTGCTTCACCCCCCGCACGTCATGGCTGACTTTGGTGTGCGCCCGCAGCTCGTCTCCATGTATGCGCCTCTGGTCCACGATGATGATGGTGCTGGTGCTGGTGCTGGTGGTGATGATGATGATGATGATGGATTTTATGCAGCCTTGGGTCCTCCTCAGATTGATCTGGATAGTGGTGATGGAGGTGGTCGGCTTGGAGAAGGCATTGGTGGTGGGATTCTAGGGCTGGCGCATCACATGTACCATCCGCTCGACGATGGTGCGCCTAGCTCGGCCCCTGCGCCAACGGCGACTCGGACCGCCGCCCCGGAACGTGCTGCAAGCAATGCAGAGTGCAACAGCAGTGTAGATTGGAATCGCATGTATCAAGAAGTGCTCGAGTCGGAGAGTGCAGATCGAGAAGAGCAGCTGGCCATGGTGCGTGGAGAGTTTGAGGCGGCGGCGCGGGCCCACGCCAAGATCATTGTCGACGAGATGCACCTCCCGCCTACGGCACAGACACATCCCCCCTCGCAGTCGATGGGCGGCGTGGCCGGTGGCGACAAGTATGTTGTGGACGGAATGCTGCTCAAGTTTGCCCGCGACACGACCGGCCTCTACGGCGGCGATGCTTTTGCCGGCAAGGCCGCTGCCCACGAGCTTCTTGGTGCTGAAGCAGTGACTTCAGCATATGTGCCTGGTCTCGGTGCCCCGCTTCTTGCACTGGTTGACTACTCTGGCTTTCGACTTGTTGCCGCAGCGCTGGTTCCGATTGTGCCGCCAGAGTCGCTGGTCCACGGTTCGAGCGATGCGGGCGTCACCGTCCATCAGGCGGCTCCCGAGTCCGCCACCGGACGTGCACTCGAGCAGCTCGGCGTCGGGCTCAATCTTGCTGAGCATGCTGTCACTTCGCGCGACGGATCGGCCACCATTCAAACGCGACTCGCTGCCGATGTCGAGGTCCACGTCGGCACCGACGGCCGGACATATGTCCTCGACACTGCCCGGCTCTTCCCCCCTGACGAGCCGGTCGTGACTCTCCGCGGCTCGCACCTCTACCGGCTCCTCCGGCCCGAACTGGTGTCTGCCTTTCCGCACCCGCTCTCGCCAGACGCGTTTCGGTCTGGGCCGCAACGACCACAGCACCCATAACGCCCGGGTCCGCGCCGCTGTCGCGCACCTCCGCACCCATGTCATTCCAGCGTTTGCACGCGAGCTCCACGATGCGTACGCGGCAGCGCATGCCGAGATTGAGGCGCAAGCGCGTGCGGCTGACAAAGACGGCGCCCATGCGTCACGCGACGTCGAGCCGCAGACATGGAACGAGCTAGCAGCATCGATTACCAGTCTCGCTAAGGATTTTGTGGTCGCTGGCGAGGCGCTGCGGCACGAGATTCGACTTGCGGTTGAAGCCCGGTCCCGAATTCTGCCGACTGCTTCCGAGGGCAAGGCCGAGTCCGATGAGGCGAGCGAGGTAACTGGCCTCGATCTGGGGCCAAGGTCGGTCCATTTGCAAGCAATCCGAGCATGGCCGCGTGCTCATTCCGGAGGCCGAGCCGCCGAGCTCGATGCGGCCGTGCTTGACATTCTCGAGGACGCACTGCACGAGTGGGGCATCAACGTCCGGTACCTCGGCGCCGTTGCTGGTTTGGTCGAAGAGAAGGGCGGAGTGGCGGCAGCGCGTCTGCGACGGCTGCTGCTCACGGAAATGGTGAGCCGGACACTCAAGGTCGAGCTCCGCGAGATCATGCGTGACTGCGGGGGCGTCGGGCGCGACGAGAACGAGCTTAGGGCGCGAATTGTCGACCACTTTAACCTTGTGCTGGGCACGTCGCGGGCGGCGACGACGGTTTGGGCGCGCGGCGGATCGTTTGTAGCGCATGTAGCGGCCAAGTACCCGATGGACGTGGAGCACGGTGCGGAGCTGCGAACGAGCGTCGACCTCGGCTTGGTCTTTGCGCGAGTCCAGGCTGCGACTGGTATCCATTTTACCGAGGCCGTCAATGGGACAATGGTGCGGCAGCCGATGTCTGTGCTCGCGCTTGCTGCGCCGTTCAAGGCCAGCCAGGTCGCTTCTGTCACGCCGCGGACTCCGATGGTCCGGCTCCAGATGGCGTCGCATGCCAAGGTTGTGGCCATGGGCCAGCGAGTGCTGCAGGTGGCAGACCGCGACCTGTGGACGGCGTCAACAGCATACTACCCCAAGCTCGCGCCGGATTTGAAGCACGCACTGATGGCGGCACCCGACGTGGCGGCGCTCTGGTTCATCACTGCGCGATTTGCAGACCAACTCGGGGCCGACGATGTCACCGCACACGCGGCGTACGCGCGGGCGCGCATGCTTATCTCCACGTGCGACCCATCATCGTCGCTTGACGCCAATCTTGCAGTCGGTGAGATCGAGCGGCACTATGCGCACTTTGTTCTGGAGCGCAATATAGTCCTCAAAGGGCTCAAGCTACTTGCCCGCGCACCTCCCTCGCCGACCGGCAAGCCTATGGGTCGGCTGGTTCCCGTCTCAGACGGGGGCAGCCAGATCGAGTGGCTGTGGAATGCGCGGATGCTCGAGTGCTTGTCGTCGGGTAGCAGCATCAGCTTTTGCGGTCCGGGCATCGAGGTCAAGCTCCCCTACCGTCTTGCCTCCAGCGGCCGAAACTCACGATGGATTTGGGACAGCGAGAAGCTGCAACTCGACGCCAGCAGCCACAACGGCAATGTGCCGTGGAAGACAACAATGTTCAGGTGTGGCAGAGAGGGCGATCTGTTCACGAGCGCCGATGGCAGCGTCTCATACACCTTTGAGCGGGCCAACAACAAGGTTTTGCGAGCGGAACGGATCATACCTGCCCAGGGCCAGCACGGGTCCCGACATGCGCACCAGCCGTTTGGCCACCATGGTCGAGCCAAGCCGTTTGGCCACCACAGCGCGGCCAAGCCGTTTGGCCACCACAGCGCGGCCAAGCCGTTTGGTGCGCCACAGCAGCAGAAATTGGTTCAGGAGCGGCCGTGGCAAGTCACGTTTCGGATGATCGGGCGTGTTCCGCTCGCCCTCATGGTGCTGGCGATCGAGATCGAGGCCATGGTGCGCAAGTCATACTGACCAAGAGCTGGAGACCGAGTCTACGCCCTCGCCTGCACACACACCCGCGCCCGCGGCCGTGCCCGAATTCGAGCTGCATGACTCCGAGTAGACGGTCAAGCCCGACTTGGCAGTGTCGAACAACGTCCGCCCGGTCATGCGATCCGAGTAATACGATGCGGAGCCGTCCGAGGTGTAGGCGTCAGCAGCGTCTGGCGTGCTGCCGGGCGATGCGAACCATGTCATTGGGTTGAGCCAGTCAGCCCAGGACCGCGCAGGAGATGCCGTTGGCACTGCAGGCGGCGCTGCCGGAGCGTGAAACACGCCGGGCATCGATGTTGTGTGCTCCAGCTCGGTGGGAGGGACCGGACGCGATGGCCTGCTGCCGCGGTCTCGGCGCCGCCGTGCATGCGCGTGCTGCAACCGATTCCGCGACGGAGGCGGCGGCGGACGGCGGGAAGCACAGCTGGCGACAAGCCAGCCGGCGATGGCGGCGGCTCCGGCAACAGCAAGCGCGACAACAAAGTGCGTGCCCGAGTGCGGGATGCCGAGAGTAAAGTCTGCGTTGTTCAGAGCAGAGACACTCCCCAGCGCCAGCAGCAGAGAAGCCGCGACCGTCATGGCCGCCACTCGGGGCACGGCAGCGATGATCCAGCCTGATGTCGATGACAGAGATGGCGACGGCGAGATCGGCGGAGCTAGCAGTGTCAGCAAGATCCCTGATGCCAATCCCATGACCACGGTCTGGACATGGTCACTCCAGCCTCTTGTTGGCGCACCAACGACAATGGCGAGAACATAGCCCGCTGCCGCTGCAAGACCTGCCCATCGCCACCTCTTGCCACCGCCATCGCTTCCGGTCCCAGCCTCCGCCATGCTTTCCTCCCTGTCTGATGTCGCCGAGTGTGTGCTCGCCTCCCTCCTGTCTCCCCCGCCTATCTCGGGCCATACGGAAGCAGCACCTCCTCGCCGAGCGGCAGCGAGCTCCGCCACCACATCTTCAGGGAGGCCTGCTTGGTCAGAGTGGATGGGCGTGGGTGGGCGATGCATGAGGATGGAGTGAGGTGAGAGGGGGGAGGGGGGGGGGAGGGGGGGGAGCCGACTTGAGCAGTTGTGAAGAGCTGAGCTCATCAGACCTCATCGGACCTGATCGGACATGTGATCGGACGCACGCACGAGATGCTGCTCGGACATGATCGGACCTGGGAAGCGGGGGGGGAGGGGGGGGGGGGAGGTAGATAGGGAGGGAGATGAGGGGGCGAGGGCGAGGCAAAGGGCGTGCGAGCCGCCCAAGCTGCTCAAGAGCGGGCACATCGGACATGATCGGACATGATCGGACATGATCGGACATGATCGGGGACAAGAGTTGCTGATGACATCCAGAGTCTGGCTTAGGTGGTGTCAGGCCCGGGAGAGACGCCGAGCCTGCCGGGCAGACTGGGCGAGTCTGAGGGACACAGTCTCCACTCGGTGCAGTTGCAGCACGGGGTGGGAGAGAGAGAGAGAGAGAGAGAGGTAGCGAGCAGATGGTTGGCAGAGGCTCGTCAGTGTATGCGAACGATGTGCTGGGGGGCGAGGTGGTGCTGGTGACTGGCGGTGGGTCGGGCATCGGTCTGGCTACGGCGTGGGCGGCGGTGGCTGGTGGGGCGGCTGGTGTGGCCATCGCCGGGCGGAAGGGGCATCGGCTGGAGGCTGCGGCTGAGGTGCTGGTGGAACGCGGCGAGGCCGAGGGATATGATTGTCGGATCTTGCCCGTGGTCATGGACATCCGTCACTTGGCATCGGTGGAGTCGGGCATTGCGACCGTCATCGACGTCTTTGGTCGCATCGATGTGGTGGTCAACAACGCAGGCGGGCAGTACGTCTCGCCGGCTGAGGACATCTCGCCCAAGGGCTGGCGTGCTGTTGTCGATACCAACCTAACCGGGACATGGAATGTGCTCGTTGGCGTCTTTGCCGCCCTCGATGCCGCTGCGCCCGACAAGGCCGCCCTTCGTGGCCTCCGCTGCGTCAATGTGGTGGCGGACATGTGGGCAGGCATGCCGCACATGGCTCACTCGGGCGCGGCACGTGCTGGCGTTGTCAACCTCACACACACACTCGCTGTCGAGTGGGCCCGATACGGGATCCGCATCAACGCCGTCGCGCCCGGCATCATCGTCTCGTCTGGCCTCGACTCGTACCCGGCGCCCGTCCGGGCCGCGCTCCCGTCCATCGCCGCCGCCTGCCCCACCGGCCGCGGCGGGACCGAGTCAGAAGTTGCTGCAGCCATCATTTTCCTTGCCTCTTCCGGTGCATCATATGTCAACGGCGCTGTCCTCCGGGTCGATGGCGGCTCCTCGCTCCGCAAGGGCATCGAGCTTTCGTCGTTCTTCCCGCCACACCCTGCCATCCCGCCGTACCACTCTGCCCCGTTCCTCGCCGACAAATACGGCGCATTCATCCAGGCATCCCGACTCTGATCCGGACAAACACCCTCGCCATCTTGGCATCCTCCACCCGAGCTCCGATCCGAAGTGATCCCCGCCTGCCGCAGACAGACCAGACCACACACGCCCGACCTACGCTTCGCGCCGAAGCCACTCAACTCTGCCCACACCACCATGGCCGCAGGACTCACCGACTGGGACGAGGCCCAGATCCGCATTGGCAACATGAAGGCGCCCGAGCCGACCGAGCCGTACTACCCTGTATGCTGAAGCTGAGAAGAACGCGGAGGAGCTTACTGGCCCAAGAGAAGGCCTGTGGCTGGCTTGGCCTGGGTTGAGGCCTAGCTTCACGAAGGGACGTTGTGGAGCAGGTGGTGGGGGGGAAAATTGATGAAACTCACCCCCCACCCCCCCCTCCCGCCCCCCCCCCGCCACTCATACTCTCTGGCTTGGAGGTCACAGGAAGTCACGTATGATGTCGGGAACGGGAAGCGGCTGACAGAGGAAAAGGCCGAGGGCATGGGCTCGGATGATCTGGACGAGTGGGACGATGACGACGACGATGATCTGGCGGTGTTGCAGATGATCAAGGCCAAGCGGCTGGCCGCGCTTCGGGCACAGATGGCGTCGGCGTCGCGCGGTGTGACTGAGATCTCGCAGTCCGAGTACATCAAGGAGGTATCCGAGTGCAGCGATTGGATTGTGCTCCATCTGTACCAGGACGACAATCCGGCGTGCCGGGTGGTGCACGCCGCCATGGAGCGCCTCGCGGCATCGCGGCCGGTCCCGGTCAAACTGCTGCGCATTGTCTCGACGGCAGCCATCCCCAACTACCCGAACGACCTGGTGCCGTCCATCTTCTTCTACCACGAGAAGAACCTCGTCTCCAAGCTCGTCTCCATCAAGCAGCTTCCGGGCGGGCTCGGCTTTAACGCCGATGACCTCGAGTGGATGCTTGCCTCGCTCGGCGCCATGGACACCGACATGGAAGAGAATCCGCGCGCCGACGAGGAGGAGTTTGACCGACGTCGCCTCGTCAAGTCATCGTACATCGGCATGGCAACCTCGCTCGATGATCTCGAGGCCATGTAGTCGCCGCTGTTTCAATCGCCTTTCGTTCCTGCATCGCACCTGAGCACGACTAGGTGCAGAGTAGGTGCAGGAGAGGCAGAGAGAGGGAGAGCTGACTATTTTCAGACATCCAACAACGTCGTGGCTCGTGTCCGATCCGACAGGCATGCACACCACGGGCACCTGAGCCGAACTCGCATCCCTGCCGTCTCCTCGCCTGCGCAGCAGCCATGCACTGCAAGCGGGTCGATAGTATTGAACGCATAGCAGCACCCGCGATAGGAGCCCCACTTGGCAGAACACCAACCATTATGTTGTACTCGATCTGTGATAGCACTTGCCAGGGAGAGAGCAGGAAGCGACAGCCATCGCCTGCCCGAAACGCCGCACCAATCGCCGCAAACTCGGCATTTCCCGCAATGACGACAGCAGCAGCGCGAAGAGTGAGCGAGAAGCACTGGTGGAGCAAGCAGGGGAAACAGAGAAGGGCACTTGGTGGACACCTGACCCACAGTCCCTCCAGGAGTGACCATGACCATGTTCGGCAAGGTACTGCGGTCGCCATGGACATCGTTTGTTTCTCTTCTGGTACGTGAGGAGGGGAGAGGGGGAGGGGATCCTGGGCGGGCGGGCGGGCCGAGACTCACCGAGGGACATGGGATGGGATGAATGGGCATGGGCATGATGATGACAACAACCGCAATGACTATGATCTCAACGATGGATGGCAATGACCACAACAATAACAACAACTATCATCATCATGATTGCAACGATGGCGATGGTGGTGACCACAACGATACGACGACCACAACGCCACGACGACAACAACGCCACGACGACAACAACGACACGACGACAAAAACCATCATCGCGCTGACAACAACAATGGATATGACCTGCTCACGCCACGAACCGCTGCAGACCCTCCAATCAACGCTGCTATTGGGCGTGTCGCCAACATCGCCCACCCTCTCCACCATCCTCACACTCACCACCTCGGCCACCGCCCTATACGGCATCCACTACTTTGCCGCCGCTGCCAAGCCGCCGACCCTTGTCGTCCCATCATCGCCATCGTCGCCACACTCAGTCCTGCTTGCCGCCGACGCGCTGCCCACTCTCCGCGAGCCGTACTACCCGCCGTTCCTCCTTGATGGTGGCCATACTCAGACGGTGCTCGCCGCCCGTCTCCGGCCTGTTCCGCGCGTCGACTACCTACGAACCTCGCTCTTTCTCGCCGATGGCGGCATGGTGGCGCTCGACTGGGCCACCAAGCCGGCTGACATCACCCCGCACACCCCGGTCATGCTTGTCCTCCACGGCCTCACCGGCGGCTCGGATGAGGGCTACGTTCGTCTCGCCGTTCGATCGGCACTTGCTATGGGCTGGGCTCCGCTCGTCTTCAACTACCGCGGTGCTGCCGGGACCGACGTCCTCACCCCGCGCGGCTACTCAGCGTCCGCCACCGACGACCTCGACGCTGTCCTCGCCCACGTCAAGGCCAAGGCGCCACACTCGCCGCTTTTTGCCGTCGGCTTCTCGCTCGGTGCCAACATCCTCTCACGCCACCTCTGCGACGCTGGCTCGGCCACCCCTGTCGACGCCGCCGTCGCCCTCTGCTGCCCATTCTCCATGATCCGCAAGCCCGAGCACTCGCTCCCCTGGATCTACGAGCGCATCTTCACCGCAAATCTCGTCCGCTTTGCCAAGCGCCACCCCATGCTGGCCCACCACCCGCAAGTCAACCCGGCCGACCTCGACACCTGCCGCACCGTTCGCGACTTTGACGCTGCTGTCACCGTCCCGGTCTTTGGCCACAAGGACGTCGACGACTACTACCGTCATGCTACCGTCGCTGGCCGCATCTCCGGCATCAAGATCCCCACCCTCTTCCTCTCTGCCGCAGACGACCCCATCGTTCCGGAGCCCATCATCCCCACCGACGACATCGCCGCCAACCCGTACACCATGGCCGCCATCACCCGCCGCGGCGGCCACTGTGCCTGGCTCGAACACGCCGGTGTCTGGGGCCCGGCTTGGTCCGACCACGCCACTATCGAGTTCTTTTCTGGCCTCCTCGACCATAACCTCCTCCGCCGCGCCCCGGCCTCGTGATCGGCAACCTGTCACTGTTATGTGCAAATGTTGGTTTCTTCAGGGCCATCGACTATGTTCATCACCTTACCCACTGCTTGAACCTTCCGAGCCCGACGAGCTCGCTGCATCGACCGCCACAACCACTCCGCCGCCGGCTGCCACCGGCACCGACGTGAACGACGCACCGCGGACGACTACCGGCGTCGCGGGATTGCCCTCCAGCGTGAGATCGCCGGCCTCGCCCTGGTCCGTCCGCAACCCTTCGATGTCGCGGACAAGAATGAGCCCGTCGATATGGCCCGAGTCCTCATCGCGGTTCATGACCACGTTGAACTGCTGGAGCGCAAGCTGGTCGGTCTCCGAAGACCGCACCATGTTGTGCGCGTCGAGCTCAGTCGTCACGATGTCGTCGAGTTCGGCCACGATAAACGTGTTGCGCTCCTGCTGCGTCTCAGACTGGAGTGCTACCCCGATAATGGCCGAAAAGCCCACAATGAGCGTGCCAAACGTCGAGAGCACAGACTGGTCCTTGTCAAGGTTGACCACGTTGAGAAGCGCAGGAATCATAAGTGCAAAGAAGCACGCAAGCACAAGCATCATCCCCAGCGAAATCGATCGCGGGACCTGGATGATAGAGAAAACGCCCACTCGCCGCGTATCAAACAGGTCGTCGATCTCATGCAGTGCCGTATCGGAGAGCCGGATGTATGTCATGCCGTCCTCGTCCTCCTCCGACGACGAAGACGATGTGGGCTGCCAGCCAGGCAGCACGCCAGTGTCAAGCGAACCCCACATGACTGGCTCGTCAGAGACACGGAACGGCGTCTCGGCGCCGCCGCGTGACAGCACGCAGATCGTCTGGCTCTCTCCGCTCACCTGCCGGTCGAGCTCGTCCTCCGGAAGCAGCGGCAGCTCCGGGATTCCGATGCCGGCCATCTTGAGCCGTCCCGAGTGGTACTTGACCGTCGCCACCGTCTCAAGATAAAAGACAAGCAGGTCGCGCGCATCGTCGACGTCCGAGCCGGCGTTGGGGAAAAACTCCTCCACAGCCCGCGCAAACTGCTGCAGCTCGTTGCGCGCTTGCAGCGGGAGGTGCGAGATCGAGTGCGCCTCGCACAGCTGGTCGTACACATTGTAGAGCACCGACGAGGTCCAAACCAGCGCAATGAGCCAGTTGACAACCACCACAAACGTCGCCGTCACTACAACCGCCACAATCAGCATCCGCTCAGTCTTGGCGGGGTGGAAAATGAACGAGAGCACAAAGTACGGGACGCCGCCGCCGTACAACATGCCCACAAGCCCTGCAACGATGGTCCGGCAGACGCAGACAAGCCAAAAGACAACCTGGTACGAGCGTGGCCGCCCACGTCCGGCGGTGTCAAACGACGCCCAGCGCCCCATGATCACCCGCGACTGGATCGACGACGTCGACTCGGACGGATCCGTCAGATCCAGCATCGACCGTGGAATGAGTGCCTGCACAAGGAGGAACAGTCCGAGGCCAAGGAGGACAGAGAAAAAGTACGTCCGCGACGACTGGATGGTCGTGGCCAGGAGCGGCACAACCGCAAAGCCCATGAGTTTGGCATTGATGGTGTACCAGTACCGCGGATCCTCCTCCATGCTGAACGAGCCGGCGCCCGTCATCCCGGACAAAGACAGCGACTCGAGACCGCCGATAAACGAGTCCCAGAAGTAAAAGACAGCGAGCGTGAGGAGGACCGCGAGGACAAGCGATGCCAGATACACCATGTTCCGCCCGGTGTGCTTCGGCTCAAACGTCTGCACAGACTGAAGCGACGACTCGACCGTCGTCCGCTTGAAGCACTCGCCCTTGGCCAGCTCGCCAGACGGTGTGATCGGGCAGATGGCCGAGTGCAGAAAGTCCTGACCCTGCTCAAGGAGAAGGCCGAAGAGGAACGAGGCCATCGCTGCGCGCGACTGCAGCCCATTGCCCTTGTACACCCCGGTCAGCATCGCTGCTGTGCAATCTGCGTCGAGCTGTGACTCGAGCTCGGCCTCGTCCATCACAAAGTGCAGCGACTTGGCGTTGGTCCGGAAGATCGAGCCCGAAAGCACAAACGCTGCCAACTCCTCCCACCGGCCAAAGTTGACAAACATCGATCGTGCTCCGATCCGCCAGTGCTGGGTGAGCGTCGGCGAGACTGCCGTGGGCGAGTACGAAACAAAGTCAAACTGCACATCTACAAACAGTGGCATCGGCTCGTCGATCGGATACAACGCGCCGCGGATGAGATGTGTCCACAACGGCGCCTCTGCGTACAACGACATCTCCGAGTAGCAAATGGACTCGTTGGCGAGGTTTCTAAACTGCGCGTTGAGGAGCGACTCGTCAATGTCGATCGAGGACGAGCGCGCGCCAAAGGCAAAGACGCCAATGAGCACGCCGCCGATGATGACAAGGACAACAACAAGGAAAAAGGCGCCAAACGGTTGCCGCTTCTTGAGCACCTTTTTCTTGTCTTCGCGGAAAAGCTCGTTAGCCGAGTGGGCGAGAAGCTTGGCTCGCGCCTGCTCCTCTCGCGCGCGCCGCCGCTCGCCGTCCGAGTCGCGGACTTTGAGCTCCTTGCGGAGCATGTGGGTAAACGCGGCTGTGAGGTCGGTGAGCGACTCGTCGTCGGCGGTCTCGAGGCCGGCCGCCGTCGCCGTCACCTGCGACGAGATAAGGAGGCCACGGATGATGGTGATGACAAAGAGCAAGACCGAGAACGGCGCAGAAGTGCCCTCGGAGAGCTCCAGCCCGTCAAAGATGACCGACGCGTAGACAATGACAATGATGAGAAGCGCAAACTCCATGAGTGGGAGCAAGAACGACGAGATGAGCGAGAGCCGGTACGACCGCTCGGCGGCGTGGAACGCCGACTCGATGTCAGCAACCGCGCCCGGGCGGAGCGTCAGCAGGTGCTTGTTGTCCTTGTGGTAGTACGAGTACAGCGTCTCGCGCCCGCCCCACAGCACGTCATGGGTCGGCCCGTCATCGAGTTCGTCGTCGGGTCGAGCCGAGAGGTAGACCTCCTCGATGCGGGCCGGAAGGAACGGAAAGGCGTAGACCTTGCCGTCGGGCACAAAGCGGAGGCGCTCGTGAAAGTCAAACCGCGACGACTCGAGGGCGAAGAAGCCCATGGTGAGCAGAAAGTTGTAGAACCGCCGCCGCGAGGTCGACGTCGTCGAGTTTGCCGGCGCCGCGCCGCCGACAGCCGCCGACTCGGCGGCCTTGATGGCGTCGAGAACACGGTGCATCTGCAACAGGTGCTTGGAGACCAGGTTGCGCCCCGAGTAGAGGTTGACTAGGTTCTGGTACGCATGCTCCTCGACCGGATAAGGCGAGCCGTCCTGGACCTTGCGGAAGAGGTTGCCGAGGAAGAGCAGGATGTACGAAACAAGCGAGAGTGTGGTGAGAAGCCGAATCTGGGTCGGGAGCGGATGAAGGAGGGCGGCCAGAGCCATGAGCGGCGCGCCCGCGCCGTAGAACAGCGACAGAATCATGATGACAATGATGCGGAAAAAGTCAAAGAACTGCGCATTGCCCTTGAACGCATACTTGGAGAGAATGAGCTGGACCGGCCGGAGGTGCGGCGAGCGGAGAAAGACAAAGATGTCGACCGACGAGACAATGATAAAGAGCGCAAGGACGCCGACGAGCGTAACGTACGAGCCAATGAACGCAAAGTCAAAGAAGGAGAGGACCAGGACAGGGCCAAAGAGGGCGGCAAACCGCCCAAAGTTGGTCACCAGCATGACGCCAAGGATCTGAAACTTGGGCGCGTCCGACGACGAGAGTAGGATCTCCGAGTCGCCAATGGTGAGCGACTCGACGAGCTCAAAGAGATGCAGCCAGACGCGGTCGATGACAAGGATGGCAAGGACAAAGGCGGCAACAAGAAATATGACCTCAAAGTATGGAGGCCGGAAGAGCTCGATCTGCCGGATGTGCTGCGGGTAGTCTGGGCCGGAAGAGACTCGCTCGAAACAGACCGAGCGGTCGAGCGTGTCGAGATCGCCGTTGGTTCCAGCGCCGCGGTAGCAGGCGATGGACGGCGTGAGCCGCCGGTTGGGTACAAGCTCGACGGCGCCAAAGGCGACCTCCGCAATGGCGTTGAGCAAAGCCTGGTCGTCGTACCGCGTCGAGTTGGGCTTGGGCCGGAAGTACTCGACCATCGACTCGACTGGACAGTCCGAGCCGTAGTCAGTGGCCACCTCGTTGGCGTCGACAAAGACTTGCACGGCCTTGCGGTTTGACTTGAGCATGCCGAGCGAGAGAACACGATACGCCACGTCAAGCCATTTGTGGTGGTCGAGGGCAAAGGCGCGGGCACCAAAGGTAAAGGTGTGCGAGACGGCGGGTTGGAACTCGGGCGAGCGCGAGGTGACAAACGTGATCTTGAGGTCAACAACAAGCGGAACGGGTTCGTTTGGCGGCGCAAAGGCGAGCGTGAGCTTGTTGAGCCAGAATGACGACGAGAGGAAAGTCAGCACGTCCGAGTAGCAGAACGACCGCGTCGAGGCAGGATCAAGGGTGAGCGTGTCCGGTGGTGGGCGAGGGATGTCGAGGCCGTCCTCGACAATGGTAAAGTAGTAGAGGCCGGTGAGGGCAAAGGCGATGGCAACAAAAAAAGTGGCAAAGACCACTCGCCGCTCGCGCTTGCGGCGGCGGCTCTCGGCAAACCGGATCTGGTCGGCAAAGTTGGCGTTGTCACGGAGCGGAGCATTGCCGATGGGACCGGTGCTCGACACTGCCGACCGCGACCGCGACCGGATGCGAGACCGCGACCGCGACCGCGACCGCGACCGCGACCGCGATCGGCCGCGATCAACGACCGGCGAAAGCACCTTGGCGGTGCCTTGCTCACCGCCGTCAGCCTTTTCCTTGGAGGCGCCGGCTTCGGCATCAACCGCAACCTTGGCGCGCTTCTTTGGTGCCGGGTACGGATCCTGTGGCGTCGGAAGGCCGGCGCACAGCGTCTCATAGTCGAGAAAAACGGCGGCTACGTCGTCGGATGAAAAAGCTTGTGGGGCACGGACGTCGGTACCGATCAGCGTTGCCATGGACCGAGTATCTTGAACGACAGACGTCGTGGCCTCGCTGCCTGAGTGGACACCGCGGAGCATGGTTACATTGCGGCCACCGCCAAACTGTGAGTGCCGAACGGTCGAGTGTCTGCGCGGGCGCGCCGGATCAAGGGTGGAGTAGCGAGACGAGGTCCGGCGCGAGTTCCGAGAGCCACGGCGCCTGCGCATGCCGACCGAGCCGTCGTCTGGCTGAAGCGAGGCAAACGCGTCTGCATCCGCATCTGCACCGGCATCGCCGAGCGCACTTGGATCAACAGTGGCGTAAGCGCGAGCATCGACCTCGTTGTCCGAGTCCGCAACAGGCGTGCCACTCTCAGTCGCTGCAGCAGCTACATTAGGGGAGAGCGAGTTGGCCGAGTTTGTTGGAGGCGGTGGGAGCTTAGTCGGCGGCTGGCTGATAGCCGAGAGTTCCACGCCATCATCCGAGTTGTTGCCTGAGGAATCAGCGCCATGATCATGAACATACGAACCCGAAGTCTCCGAGCTTGCGTCGAGGTTGATGACGGGAGTGCTCATACCGTCGTCGTCGTTGTTGACAAAGAGCTATGTGCGACGACGTGGCAAAGAGGAGGAGCGAGGTACAGGCCGCGAGAAGAGGAATGAGGAGAAATAGCAAGTGGGTGTAGAGGGGAGAAGCGCAGCGCAGGGGGGGGGAGAGAGAGAAGAAGGGTGGGAAATGGTACAGCGTGAGTTGCGCGCGTGAGGTGCGCCAACACCGCGAAGTGAGGTGGGGGGGGGGGGGGGAGGGAGGGGAGGGGGTGCGGACTAAAAAATGAAGAAAACGGCAAACGACTGGAGGATTGAAGGTGATCAGGATAGAGGAGGAGATAGGGATAGAGGAGGAGGTATGGTGGTGATTCTCGGATGCAACTGTAGTGTATAGAGCGAGTAAGAGTATGTGAGCAATGGTAATGGAAGATGGAGAGAGGAGGGCTGTAGAGAGGGTGAGGAAGGAGCAGCATGACCATGTTGGCTGGAAAACTCATGTGACGGGTGGAAAACGGCGGTCGGCAGCGGGCGGGAACAGTTGGGGGGGGGGGAGGAGGGGCAGGGCGGAGAGGTACCAGTGGGAAGCAGGACAGAGTGGTGTGAGTGGCACAGTCGACTCTGCTGCGGGTAGCAAAGATGGACAGCATCGGTTTAGGGCGACTGAGCCAGATAGAACCGCTGGACCTGACGCCACTACCGCCGTACATGGGCATGCGGCACTTTACTATTTCCCCTTACCGGCGTCGTCGGCGGGGTCGTGGTGGCGGTGGAAGCGGTGGCGGTGGCAGCGGCGGGCGACGGGGGCGACGTAACGGAGGACGACGTGGGCTTTCGACACCCGAGCGTGGCGTAGCGTCTGCCGACGAGAGTCTGGAGTCACTGGGGTGGCTCTCTGCTGGCGACATGTCGGACCTGCCACGCCGTGGCGTCATGAGCCTCAATGGCGCCATGTCGTACTCGGAGGCAGTCGGTGGGAGCGGGAGCGGTTTCGGAGCCTTTGCCGGCGGCAGCAGCTACGGAGCAGTGCAAGGCAGTCGGTTCCGTAGAGGCAGCAACAGCTACGTCCCTCCGAGCAGCAGTGTGTTCCCCTCGTTTACTGGAGAGGCTGATCAGCATGGCCGCTGCCGTGTTGAGGTGGCCAAGGTCGCCGCTCAGCGCGACGCGGCTGTGAAGGAGCTGGCAGCAGCGCAGCGAGTGATGCGGGCGATGCCAGTGAGGTCGGCGAGTGTCGGCCGTGACTCGCGTGACGTGACGGTACGCAAGGGCAGTGAGAGTGAGAACGAGAGTGGGCGGTGAGGGAGGTAGGTGCATGGACTCACAAGCAGGCAGATCGAGTCGCCGTCTGTGGTGGCGCTGCGTGGGAGCGTGCTGCGGCTGTTTGATGCGCACGGGATGGTTGTGAGTCCGGCGCTGCTGGAGCGGCTGCTCATTCTGGTGTATGGGCACTTTGGAATCCAGCTCGGGCTGAGCGAGGTTGACGAGCTTGTCTCGCCGATGGCGAGCGGCGGGAGCGCTAATCGGCTGGGCGTCGGCCTTGCACCAGTGTCGCCGATCACTCCGGGTGGGCAGGGCTCGCGGCGCGGGCTCTCGTTTGCTGAGCTTTCGCGGTCAGACACTGACAGGGACGAGTCGTCGTCAAGCGAGGCAACGCCGACGTTTGAGGCGATTGTGGCGGCGCATGCGGCGGCAGAGGCGATGGCGGCGTCATCGCAGGCTGTGATCTCGCTGGAGGAGCGTCTTGCGCAATACCGTGGCGAGCGCGACGCGCTCGTGGTCCAGATCCAGGAAGAACGAAGGGCGCGTGCAGTGGCGGAGGTGGAGATGCGCGAGATGGGTGAGCGGATGGCAACGGCGCAGAGCAAGCTGCAAGAGCAGGTCGGTTCGCTGACGGAGCTCATGCAGCAATACCGTGAGCGGGCACTGCGTGTCAATGACGACGCGGTCGAGCTTCAAGTGCTGTCAGCGCAAATGAGCCAGCTAGAGAGCCAGCTAGCGACCGAGCGGGAGGAGCTCGCAGCGGCGCTCGAGAGCGCAATTGTGCTCCGCGAGGAGCTTGCAGCGGAGCGTGCGCTGCGTAAGGCGGCCGAGACGCGAGCGAGTGTGGTGCCTGTGGGTGCTGGCTCGGCTGACACGCGCGTAGCTGCCGCCGAGGCGCGAGCAGGGCTCCTCTCCGAGCAGGTTGCCGATCTTCAGGCACGATTGGAGGCCAAGGCGGCGATGTCGGGTGATGGCGCGTCACCGGATGAGCATGTGCTTGGTGCGATCCAGATGATGCTGACGCGAGTCCTGAAGCGAGTCGAGGGCTTGCCAGCGCTCGCCGAGTCTGTGGCTGCGATGGGCGAGGTCGACCTCACGGCTATTGAGGTTGCGCTCGGCGAGATCAAGACGCAAGTGGCGGTCCCTGTGCCTGGCGAAGCGAATCTGTCGGCGGTTGAAACCGGGCTGGCTGAGATGAAGACCGAGGTGATGATGGGGCTTGCGACGCTCAAGGCTCGCGTGGACGAGCTGTCGGGAGCGGCGACAATCGGGACAGGGATTAACCTGTCGCGTGTGGAAGCTGCGCTCGCGGAGATCAAGCAGCGTGTGGAGACAAGCCATGCAACTGCTGAGGGAGCAGCAGTTGTTGATCTCTCGGTCATAGAGGCGTCGCTGGTCGAGATCAAGGAGCGTGTCGATGCGCCAGAGGTTGTGGAGGTCGATCTTGCGGGTGTCGAGGCTGGGCTTGTGGCGATGAAGACGGAGATGATGATGGCGCTGGCTACCCTGAAGGCGCGTGTCGAAGAACTCGCTGTCCATGCACCGCCAAGCGGGCAAGTGGACCTGTCGTCAGTGGAGGGCAGTCTTGCCGAGATGAGGACCGAGGTAACGATGGCGCTTGCTGGGCTGAAGGCCAAAATCAACGCGGCGGCAGCGGCGGAGGCACCTGAAGCAGCAGACCCCTCTTCGATCGAGACGAGCCTGAATGGCATAGCTGTGGCCCTGGAGGCGGTCAAGTTGCGTGTCGATGAGCTTCCAGGCGTGGAAGCCGCACTTGTGGAGATCAAAGATCGTGTGAATGCGGAACCTTCGTCTGGCATCGAACTGTCGTCGGTCAAGGCTGACCTTGCTGATATGAAGACCGAGGTCATGATGTCTCTGGCGACGCTCAAGGCTCGCGTCGATGAGCTCCCGGCCGAGGCTGCACCTGCTGCCGAGATCGACCTTTCGAGTGTGGAGACTGCGCTGGCTGAGATCAAGGCTCGCTTCGATAAGCTGCCGGCCGAGGCTGCGCCCGCTGCCGAGATCGACCTTTCGAGTGTGGAAACTGTGCTCGCTTACATCAAGGCTCGCGTCGATGAGCTCCCGGTCGAGGCTGCGCCCGCTGCCGAGATCGACCTGTCGAGGTCGAGACTGCGCTGGCCGAGATCAAGGCCCGCGTCGATGAGCTCCCGGCCGAGGCTGCACCTGCTGCCGAGATCGACCTTTCGAGTGTCGAGACTGTGCTCGCTTACATCAAGGCTCGCGTCGATGAGCTGCCGGCCGAGGCTGCACCCGCTGCCGAGATTGACCTCTCGTCGGTCGAGACTGCGCTGGCCGAGATCAAGGCCCGCGTCGATGAGCTCCCGGCCGAGGCTGCACCTGCTGCCGAGATCGACCTTTCGAGTGTCGAGACTGTGCTCGCTTACATCAAGGCCCGCGTCGATGAGCTCCCGGCCGAGGCTGCGCCCGCTGCCGAGATTGACCTCTCGTCGGTCGAGACTGCGCTCGCTCACATCAAGGCCCGCGTCGATGAGCTGCCGGCCGAGGCTGCACCTGCTGCCGAGATCGACCTTTCGAGTGTGGAGACTGTGCTCGCTGACATCAAGGCTCGCTTCGATGAGCTGCCGGCCGAGGCTACCGAGATCGACCTCTCGTCGGTCGAGACTGCGCTGGCCGAGATCAAGGCTCGCGTCGATGAGCTCCCGGCCGAGACTGCACCTGCTACCGAGATTGACCTCTCGTCGGTCGAGACTGTGCTGGCTGAGATCAAGGCTCGCGTCGATGAGTTGCCGGCCGAGGCTACCGAGATTGACCTCTCGTCGGTCGAGACTGTGCTGGCCGAGATCAAGGCCCGCGTCGATGAGCTCCCGGCCGAGGCTGCACCCGCTGCCGAGATTGACCTTTCGAGTGTGGAAACTGTACTCGCTTACATCAAGGCTCGCGTCGATGAGCTGCCGGCCGAGGCTACCGAGATCGACCTTTCGAGTGTGGAAACTGTGCTCGCTTACATCAAGGCCCGCGTCGATGAGCTCCCGGCCGAGGCTGCACCCGCTGCCGAGATCGACCTGTCGAGTGTGGAGACTGCGCTGGCTGACATCAAGGCTCGCGTCGATGAGCTCCCGGCCGAGGCTGCACCTGCTGCCGAGATCGACCTTTCGAGTGTCGAGACTGTGCTCGCTTACATCAAGGCTCGCGTCGATGAGCTGCCGGCCGAGGCTGCACCCGCTGCCGAGATTGACCTCTCGTCGGTCGAGACTGCGCTGGCCGAGATCAAGGCTCGCTTCGATGAGCTGCCGGCCGAGGCTACCGAGATCGACCTTTCGAGTGTGGAAACTGTGCTCGCTTACATCAAGGCTCGCGTCGATGAGCTGCCGGCCGAGGCTACCGAGATCGACCTTTCGAGTGTGGAAACTGTGCTCGCTGACATCAAGGCCCGCGTCGATGAGCTCCCGGCCGAGGCTGCGCCCACTGCCGAGATCGACCTCTCGTCGGTCGAGACTGCGCTGGCCGAGATCAAGGCTCGCGTCGATGAGCTCCCGGCCGAGACTGCACCCGCTGCCGAGATCGACCTGTCGAGTGTGGAGACTGCGCTGGCTGACATCAAGGCCCGCATCGATGAGCTGCCGGCCGAGGCACCCGCTGCTGAGATCGACCTTTCGAGTGTGGAGGCTGTGCTCGCTGACATCAAGGCTCGCGTCGATGAGCTCCCGGCCGAGGCTGCGCCCGCTGCCGAGATCGACCTTTCGAGTGTCGAGACTGTGCTCGCTTACATCAAGGCCCGCATCGATGAGCTCCCGGCCGAGGCTGCGCCCGCTGCCGAGATCGACCTCTCGTCGGTCGAGACTGTGCTGGCTGAGATCAAGGCTCGCTTTGATGAGCTGCCGGCCGAGGCTACCGAGATTGACCTCTCGTCGGTTGAGACTGTGCTGGCCGAGATCAAGGCTCGCGTCGATGAGTTGCCGGCCGAGGCTGCACCTGCTGCCGAGATCGACCTTTCGAGTGTGGAGACTGCGCTGGCCGAGATCAAGGCTCGCTTCGATGAGCTGCCGGCCGAGGCTACCGAGATCGACCTTTCGAGTGTGGAAACTGTGCTCGCTGACATCAAAGCCCGCGTCGATGAGCTCCCGGCCGAGGCTGCGCCCACTGCCGAGATCGACCTCTCGTCGGTCGAGACTGCGCTGGCCGAGATCAAGGCTCGCGTCGATGAGCTCCCGGCCGAGACTGCACCCGCTGCCCAGATCGACCTGTCGAGTGTGGAGACTGCGCTGGCTGACATCAAGGCCCGCATCGATGAGCTGCCGGCCGAGGCACCCGCTGCTGAGATCGACCTCTCGTCGGTCGAGACTGTGCTGGCTGAGATCAAGGCTCGCTTTGATGAGCTGCCGGCCGAGGCTACCGAGATCGACCTCTCGTCGGTCGAGACTGCGCTGGCCGAGATCAAGGCTCGCGTCGATGAGCTCCCGGCCGAGACTGCACCCGCTGCCGAGATCGACCTGTCGAGTGTGGAGACTGCGCTGGCTGACATCAAGGCCCGCATCGATGAGCTGCCGGCCGAGGCACCCGCTGCTGAGATCGACCTCTCGTCGGTCGAGACTGTGCTGGCTGAGATCAAGGCTCGCTTTGATGAGCTGCCGGCCGAGGCTACCGAGATTGACCTCTCGTCGGTCGAGACTGTGCTGGCCGAGATCAAGGCTCGCGTCGATGAGCTCCCGGCCGAGGCTGCACCCGCTGCCGAGATCGACCTTTCGAGTGTGGAGACTGCGCTGGCTGAGATCAAGGCTCGCGTCGATGAGCTGCCGGCCGAGGCTACCGAGATCGACCTTTCGAGTGTGGAGGCTGTGCTCGCTGACATCAAGGCCCGCATTGATGAGCTGCCGGCCGAGGCTACCGAGATCGACCTCTCGTCGGTCGAGACTGCGCTAACCGAGATCAAGGCCGGACTCGGACGAGACGCGCTCACTGGCTTGCACTTCAAGCTCACCGCAGCTGCAAAGGAGTCTGCCGCCGCCAAGGGCAAGCTGGAGCACGTTTCGACTTCACTCGACAACCTTGTTCGCAAGGCCACCGCCGAGAAGGACGCGCTCGCCCAGCAGCTTGCCGACCTCAACGCCGACCTCTCCGAGGCGAAGCAGACCAACGCGGAGCTCATCGCCGCCCTTGCCGCGACAGAGGCCAAGCTCGACATGACTTCCAAGTCGTCGACGAGCCTCGCCAATGTCCTCGCCGCCGTCACCGAGCTCTCTGCCAACATGCCACGCCCCGAGCCGGTCGATCTGGCACCCGTCCTCGCCGCCATAGCCGCTCTCGACGTGTCCAAGCCCGACCTCGCTCCGGTCGTCGCCGCCGTCGCCGCCGTCTCGGCCGAGGTCAAGGCCGAAACCGCCACGCTCACCGCGGCCCTCGACGGAATTGCCAAGACACAGGACCGCATCCTTGTCGACGCCTTCACCGCCGTCGAGCGCGAGTCGCGCCTCCTCGCCGAGCTGTACAACATGAAGGTCGACGAAGCCCAGCGCTCAGTCGAGACCGCGTCCGAGGTCATCGCCTCCTCGCTCCTCGACGCCATCGCCGGGCCCAAGACCGCTGATCCGCTTGTCCGGGCCACCACCGATGCCACGTTTGACTCGGCCCAGGCCGCCCGTCTTGACCTCTCGCGCCGCGAGCAGCTCGCCTTCCTCGAGTCGCAGGTCGCCCAGCTCGAGTCGTCGCTCGCCGGCGAGAGCAGCGAGCTCGAGAGCTCGTCGTAACTGACCGTGCCGTTTACTTCTCGCCGCTCTCTTTGAGCATCGCCTCGAGCTTCATCCGGATGTGCAGCGCAATGAGCTCGATGCCGACCTCGTTGTACGTACCCTGCGGGAGAATGATGTTGGCGTACCGCTTGGTCGGCGCAATGTACACATCAAACGCCGGCTTGACATACTTCTCATACTGGTCAAGCACGGATGCCAGCGTCCGGTCACGCTGCGCCATGTCGCGACGCACCCGCCGCGCCAGCCGCGTATCCGAGTCCGAGTCCACAAACACCTTGAGGTCCATCAGATCACGGATACCCTCGTCGTACAGCGCAAAGATGCCCTCAAGCACAATGACGTCGGCGCGCTCAATGCGCTTCTCCACGCCCACTCGGTTGTGCTCTCCAAAGTCGTACAGAGGAATGTCGACAGGCTCACCGTCCACAATAGACTGCAGCGTCTTTTTCAGCAGATCAAAGTCGATTGCATCTGCAACTCCGCCCAGCGTGTATGGGTGCGTGAGAGAGGGGAGGGAGGGGAAGAGGGGGGGAGACGGGAGCATAAGGGTAAAAAACCGGCTGCAGACATCCAAAAAAAAAGGAACAAACGGTCGAAGCCACCGAACTGGCACCTCCCATCGGCCCATCTCGGCCATCAACGCGGGGCGGGTGACGCGGTGGAGTGTGGGGACGCCATGCTCATACCCAGCCCTACACATACCACATAAACATGTGTATGAGGTAAATGGGTCTCCCCATGCCTGATGGGGAGTCAAGGTGAGGCTGAATGAGGGCAGGCAGGCAGGTGGAAGGGACGGGGTGGGGAGGCCGTACTCGGGTGGTCAAAGTTGTAGGCGTCGGCCTTGGCCTGCTCCTGCTGGGCCGCACTCAGCGGGCGGTAGAACATGTCCAGCGAGATGAGCTCACAGACTCCAGACGCTGATTCGAGCTGAGAGATGATCGCCTTGCTCACTGTAGTCTTGCCCGATGCAGTGCCTCCAGAGAGTCCCACAATGAGCGGCTTCGGGCGAACAGCCATGGCTCTCAAGTCTCGTTCGAGAGAAGGGGGTGACGGTGTCAATACTTCCCCACCGTCACCCACCCGCAGCACGCCCACGCTCAACAAACTCCCGCTCGCCCACATCTTGCTCCCGCATCACCATCACGACTCGCCGCCTTCACTCCGGAGAGCCTCTCAAGCACACCTGCCCCACAGCCATGCCGCTAAAGCCAGCAGCAATCGAGCTGGTCTTCCCGCTACCTCTCACTCATTGCTCCACCGCCGACCTATCTTCCCCTCACACATGGCGTGCATGGCCGCGGTCGGCTGCCAACGTGTTGGCTGTAAAATTTTAATCCCTTGTCTCGGCATACGCCCTGTCTCGGCACATCTCCACCACCAATAACTTGTCCGGGCGCGCGCCCTCGCTCGACACGCGGGCAGCCGCGGTTTGCCCGGTCGAGCTCGCGCTTGAGCTCGGACTCGCGAACGCAGCCACATCTCTCCTCCCACCTAGTCCTACCCGCGGCGCCCTGCCCTCTCCCACCGCTCTCTCCTCCCGCACACAACCGCCACACGCCTCCCCTCCATGGGCGCCGCCCTTAGCCGGTGCACCGGTGCCCGTGGCGCGCAAAGCCCCGGCGAGCCTCACTCTCCCGGCGACACTGGCCATGCCGAGCCGCGTCCCCATCACGATGCTGTTGCGAATGAAAGAGGCAGAAGGCGGTATTCGTTGTCGTCACTATCGTCGTCATCTTCGTCGTCGTCATCGGCTTCGTCATCGTCGTCATCCGTATCATCATCGTCGTCGGCCCCGTCATCGGGCATCGACTTCAGCGACGACGCTGACCTCGCCGATCAGCTGCGTGTCATCCGGACAGAGGTCGAGCGGCTGCAGCACGGCCTTGAGTCGACGCTTGAGCTGCAGAGCAAGGAGTTGCGCCGCGAGCTAGACGACCTGGAGATGCGGGTCTCGCAGGCCGGATCGCTCCGCGGCTCGCTGCCCCTGCTCGACGTCTCAGCCCGCCCCTCGAGCCACACGCTGACCCTGCCGATCAAGTCGGACGCGGTACCGTACGTGGCGCGGCCACGGATTGGTGCTGCCTACCGCTCGTCAGACTCGGGACTGACCATTTCAGACGCAGCCGTCAGCGCTCCCGACTCATCATCGTCGGCGCTCAACTCGTCGTGGGACTCGGGCATGAGCTCGACGTCCGACTCGGCCGCCATCATCTCGCCTGCCGCCGCCCGCCGCGCCGAGCGCAAAGCTGCCGCCGACAACCTCGCCGCTCGCGTCGCCCACTGGAACGGTCCGCGCGTCCTGCTCACCCGCAAGGAGGGCATTGCTGTCCTTGCTGCCGCTACCGACGCGCCGGCCGTCGACTTTGCCACCGTCTACGCCTACTACCTGCCGGGCTCGCGCTCCGTGGCTGTGTGGGCCTTCTTCGACTCGGCAGATCACATGGTCTTCGCCCTAGAGCGCCGCCGTGGCCTAACCCCATCGCCGCCGCGCACCGCCCCCGCTCTGCGCCGCGGCGAGAGCCACACCCTCCACCCGCGCCGATCCTCGCGCCGCCGCTCTTCACACTCATACCTCCCTGCCGACTGCAAGCACGGCCGCAGCCACAACGTCGCTGACACCAACCACGAGCTCCTATCGTCCCAGCCGCCACTCTCCCACCGCATCGCACGCTCGCGCTCCTCGCATGGTTCATCATTGGCCTCGGATGCTTTCTCGCCCCGCCGCCGATGAAAGCCTAAGCCCAAGCCTAAGCCCAAGCCCAAGCCCAAGCCCAAGCCCGAGCCCCAAGCCCGAGTCAGCCAACGCTGCTGCCATCAGTGCACCAATTGGTCTGTAGCCGATTGGTCATTGATGCCACTCGGCAAGCTCCAGCGCAAACACAAATACAACTACAAGTCACACAAACCGAGCCGCCCCCCCAATCCCAACCCCAAACTAACGAACGACCCACTCGACCGAACGAATCGAATCGTCTGCACACTTTTCTCACCACCAAAGGGGACACCCGCCCACATTTCCCCACACATTCCCCCCTCACCTTTCCCCTCCCACCACCACTGCTATCCTCTTCTCCCCCTTCCTACCTCCTCACCCCCTTCCCCTCCTTTCCCTCCTCCCCCCCTCCTTTCCCTCCCCCTCCTCCCTCCTCCCCTCCTCCCCTCCTCCCCTCCTCCCCTCCTGTGTTGCCGATGTTCTCCTGCGTCTTCCTGCACCGCTTCAACGACCTGATCGTCGCCGTCAACTCGTCGGTCGACGCCGTGACTCCCCAGGGCGA